ACAGTCATGAAAATGAGCTTAGAACGAAGGAGAAGCATGGCAACCCCTGCTCCATTTGTTGTACTAGCACTAAATACTTGTAAGAAGTGCAAGAACTGCAAAGGATACATCGTGTCACATAAAACTGCTATTGGACTAAGTTTACAGTAACTGTAAAATTATTAATTGCATTTACCTCTGAGAGTTTTGCATACCTTACTCTAATTAAGTAACAATTCTTCGTGACCTGTGGGGTATGGTTATTGTCCTAATTAGAACAGCTGGGACCAGTTCATCACTGTATGGGTGTAACCCAAAACTGTGTATTCTATAGCCTTCCATGCCATTTCCCAGAAACTGTTATCAATAGAGCATTTACACCCTCTGCCCAGAGCAGCCTGACTCCTCAGGCTATAAACTGGGTGTTAAGAGGCCTGTGAGATAGGAGGGTACCTCCTGTCCTCACACCCATTGTGGAACTCCCTGCCCTGAGGGAAGTACTGGGCATTCCTGCCTGAACTGGAGGATATATAATCTTGGAGTCTTGGGACTTTTGGAACCACTCGTGGGATCCAGAGGAAGACTGCAGATCACCACTCTCAACCAGACTGCAACCACCACTCTTGACCAGACTGCAACAGCACTCTCACCAGCAGGTTTTCCCCTCTCCTTTTACTTTGGACTCAGGGGCCCAACAAACACCACTCTGTTCATGCCCCAGGGTGCTGAGTTGTACATTTGGGGTTTGTGGGTTAAAACCAATTGTTTGTCTGTATAATCATATTTACTGTATTATTTTATTAAATTGTTATTCTGACTTAAAATCTCTCTTTGAGTTGAGTTCATTTCCCCTGCCGGTTTACCTTTAAACCAGCACAGTTATTCTTTTTGAATTTGACCAAACCTGCTGTTAAAAAAATGCATCTTGGGGCCCTGAATTCCGCAGCTCTGGTTTTAGTGGCTGTTAGCACAATGTGGCAGTTGGTGTGCCTGTGTCTGATGGCAGACAGTGACAATGCACAGAGGTGAATGGCACAGTCTGTATTATAGTCTTACTGTTTCACAAGGAATCAGGCCTCGAGGAATATCTCTGTGTTTGTTAGTCAAGAAATGAGTTTCTCAAGTTTTCATAGATGTGCATGGCATTCATTCCTTACCCTTAATCCCTCGCTAACAAAGTTAATTTCACTATTTAACTAGTGTCTGGTCTATTGAACCATGTCAAAACACAAATGAGAACACACTTTCAACAGCAGAAGTGTATCTGAGTCCATTCTGTCACTGAAAGGGAAAAACATTTATGAAAATGAAAAAGGGCAGAATAAGATTAGAAGGTTTAGAGTATTTCCTGAAATTTTGATATGCAAATTTTGTTGGATGCTTCAGCAATGTTTGGGACAAAACTTAATTTGCACAAACTATTTTCTAATCCCTAGTCTAGACACTCACATTTCCAGTGCCTATTCATCTTTATTTCTGCTTTCGTGTAGCACTTCTTTTTTTTTTTGATCTATCACCGAGCATCAGTCATAAGGAACTGGGGTCTTCCACTGCCCTAACTCCACCTTGTAGTCCCAGCCTCAAGCGTAGGGCTAGAGAGTGTGTAATTACATTACCTGATGAACTGTAGGGGTCTGTGGTGCCCCTATTGAATTGCATTTACTGTTTTCAGACATTTTTTTCCCACGTATTGAGATAATTTTGAATTCTCATCCTGTTACCTAATGTGTCTGACATTTTTTCTGGATTTCCTATGGATCTGACATACATACTCTGAATATCCAAGGTACTTATGAAAATACTGAATGGTGCTGGATCCAGAACAAACCCTTAAGACCTGCTCTCACCACAGCTCCTCTGCTCTGGCAGTGAACAGCTAATAATTCTGCTCAGACAGTGGTTTTCCCAACCATTTCACCCATTCTTCAGTAGTTTCACCCAGACTATTATTTTTCTAGCTCACTAATGACAACATCTTAACACCCCATATCAAAAACCTTATCGAAGTCATAAAGTATCTTATCTCTTGCTTTTCCACACCCTTGACCCTGATTACTCCATCACAGGAGTGATGTTGATCTGATGTGATCGCTCTTGACAAGTCTCAGTTGGCTCTTATTTATTACTTTGTTATCTTCATGGTGCTCATAGATGAATGTTTGATTACTTGTTGATTATCTATTGATTAGCTGCCTTTCTGGAAGCTGAAGCCAGACCCTCCTAGCTATCATCCCCTGTAACTTCTCTTCTGCCTGTTTGAAGAGAGCACAAAGAGATACTGTCTGAGATAAACTACAAGTGGGACTTAATTCTTAACTGACAATCAATTCCAAGTACTCTTCTACCCCTGTTTGATGTATAAGCTATGTGAGAACCATAGTATCTAGAGGAATAATCCCTGATAGTTCAAGTTTAAACGTATCATGGCCTTGAGGTCACTAGTCATGTCCCTGCTCACTTCCCAGGACTCTCCCCACCTTGCCCATGGCCCAGGACCCCAGGGTCTCTCAGCCCCTGCCCCAGTGATGCTGCAGCAGGGCTGGTCTCCACCTCCCAACAGCCTTGCCTGCCTGGGGCCCCATCCCGTCCCCAGAGAGGTGCCCCATACCTGGGGCTGGGGCTGCCCTGGTGCCTCTCGCTGGTGCTCAGCTTCTGGCTGGGGTGTGGGATGGTCCCTGGCTGCCAGCCCCTGCTCCACACCATGAGGAGTCCCCAGCCTTCACACCGCCCAGAGAAAAATGTCTCCTGAAAATTTATTGCCAGTTCCAGCATTTTCTAGTATGTTCCTGGCAATATAAACCAAAAGGAGGTGTTACTTTTCAGGGGCCTCAGGGGGACATAAGTAGCAGAGGGCAAGTGAGTGACTGCAAAATATTTAAAGGCATGTTATAAACCGGGCTTTTGCTGCAAATCAGCGTTGTTTTCTAGGGTGAAAAGAAGAAGAGAAATGGAAGCTAAGTTTGACAAAACTCCTAGTATGATTTAGAGAAAGAAAACATTTCAGTTTTTAGAGGTATGAAAGTAATTATTTTCCTCGTCATCCTGAAAATATGATTTCAAGGGAGATTCTAGGTAGCAGGCTGTGAAACCAGCCATAAAAGTAACTGAGATGTTACTGTAACCCAGTGACATGCCTGGTTGGTGGGGTTGTGGCAGTGATGGCTGCAAGAGGTGGGAGAGGATGGCAGCCTTGAGAAGGGGTGGCAGAGCAGGGCCTCTGCCTGGAGGAGTGGAACAGAGGCAGACTTATCCACTGGAGTATACCTATGTGTGTCCTACACCATAAGCATAGGCTTGGTTGTGCAGTGGTTGAAGGAGTTTCTTTGTGTTGAAAATAGGAGCACATTTTTTCCCTGTGAAAAGACGTTTCCCTCGTTCTTGTATGGTAAGAAGGGGAAATATGAGCGTCAGGCTGACTTTGGCTGTATTAGGCATAATTTTATGGGCCATCTTCATTTTTTTTCTGACTTCATTCATCTTCTCTACAAATGGAATAGTCCTAACCTCTAATTTCTCTTCATCCTCCAGTAGCTTCCTTCCAGAGACAGGCTTGACAAAACTTGTGCTCTGGCCACGGCTGCTGAGTTGTCACTGATTCGAATAATTGTTCGCAATGGTTTCAGTTTTCTCTGTTCCATTTGCAGTGCACTCAATTTGCTGTATTTCCCATCTCGGCAGACCGAGTGCAGGGTTTCATTTGAGCATTCATTTCATGGGGATGCTCAGATCTGTAACCTGAGTGGTCATGGTTCATTTGAAATCCATCAAAGTACATGAGTAGTTCAGTTTTTTTTTCCTAATGTTTGTTATCTTACACTTCTCCATGCTGAATTTCATTTGCCATCTTCTTATCCAACACTCTGGTTCTCCTAGGGCTGCCTGCACTGCAAGGTAGCCTTTCTCAGAGAAAGTTGGAGATATGTAGGTTCTTCTAAGCACTCTCTTGCTTAAGGAATTTGCTGTGGTGGTGGGTCTCTTGAATTCTTTCCCAGCCCGCTAAGATGGCTCAAGCAAAATGTTGTGTGATACTGGGGACCACTCTGTGATCTCTTACCCTGTATAACTACTAAAAGGAGCTCTTTAGCAGAGGGAGAAATGTGATCAAGGCTGGTATTAGAGGGTATCCAAACTATTTTACATAGAATGATCTCAAGATCTGAGGATTATCCAGTGCTTTGAATGAGATGTGTATGTGCCAGTATTTGCCTCTTGCAGCAGTTTTAGGGAGCTCCAGCACTCCCTTGCACAAGGCTGGGAGTATTTTATGGCTTCTTCATGACTTGGTCTACCAAATGGCTACCACAGACAATTTGTTAAACTACTTCTATTGTATGAACAATCCTGATTGCTTTATAATCCAATATTTTAGAGTTTGTATGTTGTTTCCAACCAAAATCTCCTGAATTCAGCATGGGCCAGAACTGTGCCTGTCCTCTCCCCTGGTGACCCTAGTGAATGGTTTTTAGGGGCTGGTTTTGCACTGACTCTATGGCCTCAGAAAGCTAGAGGAAAATTAGGAGAGGAGAGGGATGGCTCAGGCATTTTAACTCTTGTGGGGTACTGAGGACAGTCACATGCAGCTTTCAACTGTATCACGGACTTCTGTGAGATTGGGAAAATCTGGGCAAGGCACAGCAGGGAACTTGTTAATTCAGCTGCCTCTGTGTTTGTATGAAATAGTCATTGTCAAAAGGCTGAAACTGTTTTTCCTCAAAATATTGTGTTTCAGCCACCTTGGCTGGAGACTGCTCTCAAACATGCATCTCCTGGAAGGATTTCCAAATGTCTGCAGCCTCACACATTCTCTGTAACAAGTGCTAAAGGGAATTTGACTCTACCTGTGCTATCAGGAACATCAGCTTTCATCCCAAACTCATTCAGCAAGGATAGGGAGGCCTGCAATTTTCCTCAGAGAAGGCAATTATAAAACCCAGTCTATGAGGGTTTCCTGCTCTCATTTCCAAGCTCTTGCCTGTCATGTCTTTCTCCATACCTGAGCCACTTACAGATGTGTGGCAATGTCTGAACTTATTATCTGTGTCTAACCATGTGTAGGCGGCTCTCCCTGATGCTCTGATGCTTGTGTCTGCTCTAGATGACGCGGACTCCCCAAGGAGAGAAGAACAGCCGGAGGGGTTTTGATGAAAAGGCTTATTTGTCCTCAAAGCAGCTGAAGGCTGGAGAAGACCCTTACCGCCAGCATGCTTTTAATCAGCTGGAGAGCGACAGACTCAGCAGCGATCGACTCATTCGGGACACCAGGCACTACAGGTACCCTGCAGCCCTTGCTCTAAGCCATGGCTGCTGCTTGGGGCAGGGAGACCACTGTCCTCTTGTGTTGTTCTGCAGTGTTGACCAAGGATGTCTGGGGTTTTTCTTTGCCAACATTGGTCCATTACTTCACTGAATTGGATGGTTAATCTGGAAGGGTCTCAAATGCTCTGAGACCCTTGACTAATTCAGCCCCAGCCTGTGACTTTTCTAGCATCTCTTTTTCCAGGTCCAAGCATCAACTTTTTTTAGCACAGCTCCTCCATTGCAGCTCATATTGCTCATCTGACAGTTGTTTTTTGCGCAACTCCCATCACAATCATGGCTTCCCTCTCCTGCCTGCAAAGTATACCTTTGTTGCAATGTTGCTTTGCTCTAGTAGTCATCACCTGCTGTGCCCTGGCTGTCTGAAGCTGATTTGGTGCCTTCTTTCCAGCCTGAGCATTACTGTTTGGATGAAGGCTGCTGGGGTGGGGATAAAACTAACTTGCAACTACAGTTTGATGGCTTGCGAAGTCCTGTTGTTCTGTCCTTATTTCAATGGGAGCGAATTTATTCAGCTGAATAAACTCATCCTTAAAATGCTAATAGTGCTCAAGTAATGTAGTTTCTGGAGTACAAAAAGGTAATGCTGTATCTTGAAAAGTGTAGGTTTGAGAGGGATAGGATAGTGTCAAACAGTCTACTTAAGTCCTAGATCCCGTCTGTGGTTGCAAAGCAACATTTCACAGCTGCTGGGAACAGCAAACCAGGCATCTAACTTGATTGAAACTGTGAAAGGGATGTCAGGAGACATGGAGTTTTGTAAGCCTGCCAGCACTGACAGCCATCAGAGTCCTTATGAAGGGAAGCAGTCGGGACCTTGGTTGTAGGATCCAAGTCTTGTGCTCCTGTTCCCCAGCAGAGTACTTGGGATTGGTTTCCTAGTGACTTGGAGGCAGCAGTGCCATATCCTGTGGTACTGACAAGTCTCTCTGCCATGCAGAATTGCTGTTTTCTGGTAATCTGCTGTCATGTTCTGGCCGAAAACCAGCTCACTTCAAAGGTGAGTTATTGTTTATTTTGATCTGCATTAGCATGCAGAGCATGCTTTTTGTGCAAAGCCTCGTTTGTGCACTTCAGTCTGAAGAGCAACATATATGTAATCCCCAGCAAATGTATGGCCATTTCAGACCCAGATTTTCAAGGATCCCCTTGAGCAATGGGGAGTCCAAAGTAGTATATAATCAGAACAAATAAACCTATTTCCATGTTCTTCCCCTTTAAAGGAGTGGCAGTTGGAGAATGAGGGAACTGTGTTTGAGTATCTTGCCTTATAATGATATTGGAATAGTTGTTGTGATGGCAACTCAGGATGAAGACTTATTTCAGCTGATACAAGTTAGGTTGTGGACCTGGCTCTGTGTTTAAGGAATCGGGGGAGTCAGTAGGTCACTAACTTGCTAATTTTTCTTCAGGCACCCAAGTAAAGCACGGACATACTTGACTCCATATCCTACAAGTTCCTTCTGCCTTAGTATGTAGCTGTTTCTTTGATCCAAAGCAAAGACAGGGTCAACTTTCAAGTGCAAACCTTGTCCTTGTCCTTTGTGGTGCTGTAGTAATGCTGAAATCTTTGGATGACTTCCTCAAATAACACATACATGAGCCTCTTCTGCTTTTCCACTTCCTGATTCCTCAATGCATTTTGTATGCATTACATCATAGAGTTATTTTGAAACAATAATAAATATGGTATGTCTCATGTCTGGTCTCACATTTTCCACTTGAGTCTTTATCAAAGATTTCTTCATATGTTTATAAGCTGTTGTATGAAGCTGCTGTCCCCTTAATAAAACATTGCAATGAAAAAGTCATAAACCAGTAGGATCAAATGTGATGATAAAAACAGTAACAGTTTAGCAATAACCATAAAAGAATAGTAAGTAAATGTGGAAATACAACTAGTGGCTCTAAGAAGTGATTTGTATTCCCTCCCAGGATGGATTCAGTCTATGCGTGGCCTTGAATTGTTAAAAACAGGTGTGGACTCTTCATCAGACAGGGAATTAGTGCTGGCTGACTGCAGTTTTACCCTGGCTGGAAGTTAAGAAGGCAGACACTTTGGAGGAGCAGATCAGCCCAAATCTGCCATACTTAGCATCTGCCAGAACTGGATTCAGGATTCACATTTGTGAGTTGTTCCCCTCACAGAAACTTTGTTCTCCACAGGGTATGAACAGCCCTGGTGCATATTAATCCTTAGTTCTGAGTGTGAGAATGTATGTATGTACCTAACATTACAAAGTCAGATGGGAAGACATAAGGAATTGCTCTTCACTGCCTGCTGAGCTGTTAGTGTTGAACCTCAGCAACTCCCCAATGCAGATCACAGCACTAGCTTGTGTTTTCCTTTCTGTAAAGTTCAATATCCAAAGAATTTGAAGTGCTTTATGTGGTGATGCCTGGGTGTACCAGCTCCATGCATCCTCAGCATATGCATGTCCTATGCATGAATAAACAAGATTTTATGTGAATCACAGGTAAATGCAGGGACTAGAGTCCATGCTGTTGAATCTTTTCTCACTGTAAAACCCACATGCCCTCCTTAGTGTGTACCTTTGCAGGCTTAGGTATCACAGCCTCAAAACTGCCTTTCAACAGGCACAGTTCTTTTTAAGCTCTGCCAACCTTTGGTACAAGATCTGCTGAGGCCTCCCTTGCTGCAGCTCAATTGTGCTGTTTCTGATTTTAGCATATTACTCTCTTAGGAGTTCTAGGTACATTGCTGCAGTGGCTGCTGCTGAGTGATGTTTGTCTTACACTTCTGCTCCCCTGTGTTGCAGGTGCACTTCTGTACGCTATGACGCTGACTTGCCAGCTACCAGTCTCATCATCACCTTCCACAATGAGGCGCGATCTACCCTGCTCCGCACGGTGAAGAGGTGAGTTCAGCAAGGGGTGCTGGGCCTGGATGGTGGAGTCAGGAAGGGTACTGGTGGAGAAATAGGAATTTTCCAGCAGTTAGACAAGCAGGGTGACTGCAGTTCCCCAAGTGCTAGTGTTCTAGCCTTCAGCTGGCCCACTAGGACAAACCAGGGGCTTGGATTGGCAGTGTGGGCATATTTTCAAATACAGAGCATATCTGCAGTTACCCACTGTATGGCTCCTTGGGGGAGCAGCATGAGCAGCAGGAACAGGCTGCTGGGCTTGCATCCGCAAGTGAGAAGAGTCTGTGTGAGCTGTTCTTAAACAGTTCAATCCCAATACCCTTTTAATATATTTCTTCCTAGAATTTCCCAAAGTTTTTTGGCTGATCTTTGAGTGCCTGAGTTCAGGCACTCAACAGCCAGACTTGCAAAGATCTCAAGTATGAAAACTTCAACTGGTAATATATATTCTACTCACCTCAAAAGATTAGACCTCTTAAAATGTTTTCAGACATAGAAAATTTTGGGTTTAGTGCTGCTCGTGTCCATCAGTTGTCCTCTTTCACCCCCACTTCTCTTATAGCATCCCCACAGTGTAATTATGATAACAGAACTTGAGAAAAGGCCCATAATAACAGTAGAATCATATTTAACTTTCACAAGATGCATTTCAAATGGTTCATTCTAATTCTCTAAATAATCATACCCTACCTAGCTTAAGAAAGCTCTTACAGATACAGAAATAATGACAAGCTGCAAATCTGACTAGTCAGCGGGTAAGCAGGCAAGCAAGCTATGCAATTTTATGCTTCCTGTTGCTTAATATCACTGTGGTCCTTCACAGACTCACAGCCAGGTCATAAACCCAACAGAACAGAACAGCCCTGTTCCTTTGATAGTTGACTTATCCTGAAGTGCAAGGGATGCAATGTAATCACATAGTATTGGTGCATTGACTGTGTATGTGAATTGAGCAAAAATTACACTCACAGCAGTAATTCAGCCTGGCACATTCAGATGAGTTTTGCTGAAAGACAGGACCTTCAGGTTACAGAAGAGGCCCTGAAGAGCACTGTGAAGTCTTCAACTCCCTTTCTATAACATCAATGTCAACCTCCAAATGGGACTTAGCTCTATACCTCTTCTAACAGCACAGACATGACCTGAGCCTTTACCTTTGTGTATGGTTGTTAAACCTCCAGTGCCTCAAAGGCAAGGCTCCTAGCCAATGCTTGGTTGTGGGACACTCCAAATACTGTAGAGCTCAAGAAGAACTCAGCCGTTGGGATCCCTCACCAGATCGGGATAAATTATTGACACTTCTAGCATGATTTAAGGAAGGAGTAAATCAGTCACATACACTGGCTGTAAACTATCTGGCAATGAAGAGTACAGCTGTAGCCAAAGGTCTGGGAGGAAATTCCATCCACTATACCATTCACAGCAGAGTGCAGACAGGTCTTCACAACAGCACTCCCTCCAGTGGCAGCAGTATTGCAGGGTCCAATCTGAACAGATGGGTCATCCATTTTTCAAGGTCTTTGTTGGGATCTCTCTTCCTAGGTAGGACATAGCTGTCACTCTCAAACCAGTTACTTGCTTGGCATCCTGTTCTCTTTCTCATTTTCTGTGATTGATGTCTACGTGTGATTAGTCATTAAGCGATACCATCACCTCAGCTGCAGTGACCATTCCCACTGAAGGGAAAGTCAACTGCTTTGTTATCTGGTCCCTTTCTTTCCTTTTCTGATTTCAGTCACTATTGCAGGGACTGTTTGATTTTGGTGCAAATGTGAAGGTGAATGGCCAGGCTCTGAGTCAATGGACTCGAACAGCTGTCAGTGGTTCAGTGCCTATGCAGACAGCCTGTAAAAATTCTGATTAAAAGGATGCTATTGCAATGCTAGAGCACTTGGTGTAGCATCTCATTACAATGACAATTGAGATGATGGCAAAAGAGGAGATTATTTTAGAGCAAAGGGAAAAAAGATGCTCTTCTGCTAACATCTGGAATAAACAGGATTATCTGTGAGCTGATGGGGGATGGACAGATCAGCAGAGGAGAGAAAGTCATTGGCAATGCTGATGTGATGTCATGTCATGCAAGAGAGTAAGGACACTGATACAAAAAGAAGAAGGAAGCTGTGAAAAAAAACAAAGTAAGAAGGAAGTCCATGAGATGAAGGGAGAACAGTTGGTGTTTCTGCTGTAAAATGCAATTGTCATTTGAATTTTGGAATCCTAATAATGCGTTTTTGTGCCTAGAAGTAATTGATTGTCATGCCAGTCTCTGTACCTCACTGAAGAGAAATACTAGGATTATTGTGTTCCTTGCTAAAAAGACAAGCAAAACAAAGTGCAAAGAAGATTAATTACCTTTCCCAAGGATCCACAGCAAATTATTGTAGAGAGAAGAACTGGACATTGTACAATGAGCTGTGAACTCCTCAAGGAGTGTGTTCTCTCTACTGGGGAATCAGTGGACAGGCAAGGAAGAGAGAACAAAATGTTTGGGGTTTTTTCCCCAGATGTGTTGAGTTGAAAGACCTGAAACTTTTGAAGAAAAGGTGAGCATTGCCAGTAGCCAGGCTAGTGGGAGAATGTGTAGAATACTGGTTTACAGCCATTATACTGCAGGATGCAGTCTGTCTGGATTGTTTTGCATTGGGTTTGCACAAACAAGAATTTCAGTGCAGGGCAACCTTGTCTATAAAATATGCAGATGATGGCTGTGCTGGGAGAATCTGCGCTTAAAATGGCAGAGGAACATCCCCTCCACCTCCCACCCCACCATATGAGAGGATTCAGAGAGGTATGTGCCAAGTGAAGCAAATGAGATTCAGCTTTAAAAAATGCAAACTCAGTCATCTAGGGACATGTAAGCTCAAAATACAAATACTATCAGAGGCATATAAAGCAGCATAAATCTGAAACAGAGTGGGATGTGATACTAAGCAGCAGAACAGTCAGAATTTTGCTGTGAGAGACAGCAGAAAATTCACAAACTGAAGAAACTTTGGCTCTGTATGCAAAGGCATTAGTGATGTTACTTAGCAAGATGATAATTTGTTTCTCTACTTCTTCATACCTGAGAGTATGGGATTAGTTTTGCTATCTGTTTCCTCTATAAAACAAAAAAGCCCACAGAAGAGAAAAAAACCCAGCAATCTTGCTGCAGAATTGCTCAAAATAGAAGAGCAGGTGTCACTGAAATGAGACAGGTTGCTAGAACTGGTAGAATAGTGTTTACCTCTGTTTTTGATACTAAAATTTGCATAACTGTTCTCTACACTGGGGTACCTAAGCATTACTGAGCAATCTTGTTGAAGTTAATGAGGACCTGCCTGTTCATAGAAGCATTGGAGTAGGCTTGAAGGGAGAATACGCTGAGTGATGGTAGTAAAGCCAGGGGAGAGAGTTAAAGTTCATGGAAAATGAGTTCAAGCATCTTAAAGAAATGAGAGCAATTAAGAGGTCAGAACCAAACTGCTCAGACTCCAGGGTACTAGAGTTCTTCGACCTCTGAGGAGGGCAGAAGCTTCTATCTCACCCTGTGTGTGAAAGCTCCTGTATCCTGCAGATGCAAACTCACTGCAGTCCTGAGGGTGTTGCAGGGTGTGGTGCAACCACCCTAGGAAAAAGGATGCTTTCAGCAAGTGTGGAGCTGGTTTGAAAGAAGTAACAAGCAAAAGAGGAAAAAAAATCCAAATCCAGAATATTGCCAAGGCAGTATTGACAATATTCCTGTCCAAAGAAGGGAATTGGTGAGAAAGCTTGAGCAGGGCTCATCTGTGGCATTAAGATAGAGCTCCTTATGGGGGAAAGTGGCTGCTCTTTTCGCTCTCCAGCAATGGTGAACTTTGCCCAGAGCCTGGCAAATGGAAATGACCATCAGACTCTGCATTTCTCCTCTGTGTTAGGAGTCAGAGAGCATGCAGCAGCATCCTTTGCTAGCTGGCAAGTCCCCAGTCAGCTTCCTGTCTGTGGGTCCTTGTAAGGTACCACTGAGATGCCACAGCTCTCCGCGATACTCCTGCTTGGAGTTTGGTTCCTATCAATGAATCCTGCTACAAGGGCAAGGTCACCACTTCCACTTTACTGGAGTTTGGTATTCCTGTTGTAATGCATAGCATAGCAGATTTTTATCAGTCTTAACGTTGTTATTATGGCAGCTCACAAAGTGTGGTTTTTTCCTCCCTGGGTTCTTGCAGTGTTCTGAACCGCACCCCTCCCAGTCTCATCCAGGAGATCATTTTGGTAGATGACTTCAGCTCAGATTGTAAGTATGGATTTCCACTGATTTTCTTCCCTTCTATTTTCCTGCTTTTTGTTTTTGTATTTGTACTGAAAATCAAAATCAAGCGAGCTTTTCCCCTTCTGCTCTGCGGGAGGTTTTCGTCCTCCCTGAGCTCGACCCCTCTCTCACAGATCTCCTCTTGTCTATATGCAAGACAAAAAGAAAAGAAAGGGAGTTTTTCTGTGTTTAAGGTCCATGCATGGCAGAGGCCAGAGCGTCTTCCTCTCTTTTTCTTTACATTGGGTCTTCCTTTTTTGTCTGCTTGGCAGTTTGGCCTAGGTTGCCAGAGATCTCTGTCTAGTTTTATTATGCACCATTTGGTGAGCTGATTAGCACAGATATATATGCAGCAATGCTGTACATGTGCAGAGTGGGTAATTACAGACCAAGAGAGAACAAGAGGATGCAGTGGAACCTACAGAAAATTGCTGCCTGTGGTCCTGCAGGCAGACCAGGGCAAGACTGCCTGCCTGCCTTCATATGTTTAGGATCCCAGGTGTCTCTGGAAGCTGTGGAAAGGTTAGTGCTTTGTGCAGCACCATACCTTCTTCTGCAGCTTGTCATAGGGATGGAGTGTCTACTGCATGAGTTCCACCAGATCTGCAGACTGGAAGCTGTGTACTCTTTCCATCTGTACAGTTGCTCTTGCTCCGGGCTGTTGTGTAGTAGTGGTGAGGTGGTGGAGATAGAAGCCTTCTTGCTTCTCCCATGATGTGTACTAGATTCAAGGACAATCTAGTTGTGTACCATTTATAATAATTAATAATTACTCCTTCAGAACACTTTACAGATAGCCGCGAATGCCCACCTTGGCCTGCTGAGGTAAGGAAGCAATACTCTTTTGATTTTGCAGCTAAATACTTTACATAGCTTTGGCCAAAAAAAAAAGCATTTTTAAAGATGGATGCTGAGATGAGGAATTTAAGTTTCTGAGGGCCTTACAGTGTGATTTGAATAAGTACTGAGCTGTGCCCAGCTGTAGAAGCTCGATGTTTCTGTGTACTTCCAACAAACAATCCTGGGTGTCCTACACTCAGCACCTAAAAATTCAGTTCTCAATGGGCAAAGTGTACCAGATCAAAACTGATATATTTCTGGTACCCGTTCTGCACAGAGCTCATCCAAAAAATTGCATTTAGGCTCCTGGCTAAATAGAAAGATTTTAACAAAGCTTCATCCTATGACAGCTCTCATTTTTTCACTGGCAACTGGATATTTATGGATATAGCCACTCCCCCGGGACACCTCCATGGAGGTACTTTAGCCCGTGTTTGAGGTCTGACACTTTGCTTTAATACCCACCTCAGTTTCTCCAAAGATACTGAGAGTCTGTCTTCTCTTGCAAGTAGCTGCAGGCAGAGTGATGTGCTCCGCTCCTGCAGAGTGAACGAGTTAATAAGGATTCTCATACCTGAAGTTGTGACTTGGCCAAGATGAGATCATTGTCTTCCCTTGTAGCAGAGGTCCAGCAAAATCATGATACTTTGTAATTCAGAGCCCCTGCCACTTCCCTTGGATAGTGCAGCAGCTGCTAAAGTGCCCACATAAGAGCAGAATTTCAGATTGCATGTGTCCTTCAGAATGGAAATGCTTGTACAGGAACATGCTAAAAGATGCACTTTGGCTAAGGGCCTTGAATTCTCCCCAGAGTGCTCAGTCTGTGGGAGGATGACAGCGGGAAAGGGGGGCATGAGACATGAAAAGGAATGTGGAATAAATGTGGAAACTGGGGTGAACTTGGAGCAAGAAAAAAGAGCAAGTTAGAAATTGTTATGACCTGTACTAGGGCAGGAATAGAGAGCAGATGGCAGAGAACTAACAACTCAGTGCTCATTGGTACAGCTGGGCTGGAGCAGGTAACTGTTCCTCTCTGTCATCTTCCCTGGCCAATGTAAATAAGAGATGCCAAGAGCTTCTGGCAAGCTGCCAGCAGAGCCCTCGGTCAGGCATCCATGTGTTAATGTAATAGTGTCTCCAAGGAAATGGGTCACATCCCTTTGGTCTTTATTAAACAAAGTCAAGCAGAAAGTGCCCTGAGAGCAAATGGCAGGAAATGCCCAGATGAGCCGCTGCAGGCAAAGAGAGAGGATAAGATCACTTTATATGACAGAACTCTCTTATCCTTGTCACTCTGGTCATTTACATTCCCAGCTCCCTGTGTTCCCTCCGTTTCATCGGTGCCCAGTGCCACATTGCCAGCACATGCTCATTGTTCTTGGAGGCCTGGCTGCTCAGAGGATTGGGAAACATAGGCTCAGCTGTCTAAGGACAGCAAGCAGGCAGTGCTCTTCTGTGTACTCTTTAGACAACAGGATTAAGTCCATCAGGCTGATTAATGTGATGCTAAATGAAAGTAGAATTTCTCCTCCCATGGAGAAGCAGGAGAACAGCTAATTGGGGCTCTCTGTTGAAGGCAAATAATTCATGCATGTGTGCCAAATGTGTTTTTTTGCCTTCCCTAAGCTGAGGACTGCCAGCTCCTTACCAAGATCCCAAAGGTCAAGTGTCTACGAAACACGCGTCGAGAAGGTGAGTGTGGAAAGCTTTGTACATACAAAGATTTTGCATATTTTCCCACATGACCCTGTTTGCCTGACAGCTGCTTACATGTTATTTCTTATAGTTGCAGTTTGTTTTGGTATTCTAGTTTGGAGGCTCTGTGGAGGGAGAATGTGGCTTATCAACTCTCAGGCTTCAAGGCTCTCATTTCACACTTTAAATAATGAGAAGTGGAGTCCAGAGGCCTGGCTAGAACAAAGACCACATTTTAAGATCTTTAGGAATAAAGATGTAGGTGTAAGTCCCGTCCTTTTAAATTCAGAGTGCAAGATAACAAGCCATGTAGGAGATGTGGGAGAAGGAAAAACAATCATATATCTATCATAAGGAGGTACAATTAAGGAAAGCTTTTTCTCATATATCTCCTGCATGCATAAATGGTAACTCTGACTTTACCAGCTGCCCTTTAGTTTGACTCACCTGTGCTGGTTTATTTCTAAAGCTGTCAGTGAACAGCAGGCCTGGAGTGAGGATCTAGAAGGAGAGACGGGAACCACTGTTTAGTTCACAAAGAGTGTTCCCACATAGTGGGATGGTCTGTAAGGAGACATCTGAGAACCAGGCTGATATCTCTGACTGCAGGGCAGAATAAAGGACAAATGAGAATAAAGCAGATAAGCAGTAAGAAAGGCAGAAAGAGAAAGTAGAATTTGGTCACGGGGAATTGGTAAGAGAGGGAGCAGGGTGCTCAATGGAAGAGATAGCAAGCAGGCAGCAGCAAGGTATCTGTAGGGACAGCTGGAAGAGAAGGAGCCAGATGAAAGTTCTGTGTCATGCAGAGAAGCGATAGGAGAAGTTATTCTTTGTGTGCTGGGGGGGCTCAGCTGACTGCCCCCAGAGGATGCCCTGCTAAAACTGCTCTCTGTTCCTGATGGAGATGTGATATAGGAGATTCACCTGCTCTTCCCTTGTAATGGCCACACAAAGTATTTATTCTGAACGAGGCTCAACTATTTCCCTTCCTAACCTTCCTGCTCCTTTGCTGTCCTTTCCTCACTGTAGGGCTGATTCGCTCTCGGGTGCGAGGAGCTGAAGTGGCTACTGCTGACATTCTTACCTTCTTGGACAGTCACTGTGAAGTCAACAGTGAGTGGCTGCAGCCAATGCTTCAGAGAGTGAAACAGGTGAGCACCACATCCCCCTCTGGGATGGATGGAGCTTGCCTGACTTGTGCTGGTGGATCCTCTGCCCTCACATGCCATCAGCAGTGCTGGTGAGGACAAAGCCTGCCAAGGCAGGCAGGCTGTTACAGAGGAAAGTACAACCTGAGCTAGATGGGCAAGAGATCCCTAATGGGCTTCTACATTCTGATAGTGTGCCGAGGCAGAAGGTGCAGAGTGATGGGATGCAAAGGTGAACTCTGGAACCATCAACTTGTATCTCATGTGTCCTGCAGGTATCGTGCTTCCTAGTCCTGCTCACTGTACATAGGACACCCACTTTGACAGCATACACTCTGCAACTTTTCCATGGTTTCCACCTCCCTTCTTGCTGCTGGACCCTCCCCTCTGCCTTGTCACTGCCACAATTTTCCTTCCATTAATGTTCCTACTGAGCTGCCAACATACACAACGTGCATGCAGCAGCTTCCTAGCACAGAGGACCCACCCGCGAGTTCAGGGATGTCCCTTTGATGGTTCACTTGGCAAAAGATAGATGTGAGGCTGGAAGAGTGAAAATGAGGCGGAAATATTAGCAGCTGTCACCCTGACTGCCCTGGAGAGCTCGAGGGAGAGACATACAGCTCTGCTGTAAGAGAAGGCAGGGGAGAGGTGATGGGAAAAGTCAAGCCATGCTTGCAAGTGCCTGTAATTGATCCCCTCTGAAAGGCGGATACAATGGAGTAATGAGCCCCAGGAGAAGGGATGGAGACTTTAATGATGCTTTTTGTCCATGTCTGATTGGCTTAATATGAAGGAGCAGAAGAAGATGAAACTTCAGGATTGATAACTAAAAAAGCTTCTGCTTTTTATTCCTGTTCAATAAATTCTCTGTCTCTGAAGCCCGTAAATGTTTACTTTACTATTGGTCTTAAAGTTAAGCTGCAGCAGCAGCATAGGGGTCCCTAAGTAGAAAGAACCTCACTAGTTTCTTCAGTGAAGGATCTAAATTGCAAAATCTTGGGTGCTGACTCTGATATACTAATTTTTTTAGTGAGCAGATTTCAAGTCAGCCTATTTCTGACATACTTCCTACATTTCTGATATGCACCCTAGTTCGGATTTCAGTCTTTCCCTACCCAGTCCTGGCATTGACTGGTGGAGAAGAGGCTGGTGCACCAGGCTGCCAGGTGCATGCTGAGGGGTTCAGGCTGGGCAAACACACTCTCTCTGGGCAACCATCACAGCACAGAGGGGAATGAACATGAATGATGACTCTCACCTAGGATACCCCATCCTGAACATGTGTGCAACATCAGGAGGAACTACTGCAAGGCACCAAATGAAGGTTTGATAGGAAAGGCATGGATGTTGGCAGCTGTTTGATAACAAGGTGCTGTTTGTGGCATTGGCAGCTCGGTTTCATCTTATGTGTCAGCTGTCACAAGACTGTCTTTAATGCCCTGTGCTTTGATGTTGAAAAACTATTCAACTTCTACTTACTAAAAGGATTGCAAAGGAAAACTGTAAATATCGATACCCCTCAATGGCGATAAAGTACTCACAATATCTTAATATTGTAATTTATATATAATGTATTATATGTATTATAATGTTTGCAATATGATTTTTAAGTGTAGGGTCTTGATTCATAGTATTTCTTATGAAGATACTTTATTAGGTGTTTGATAATTCCTAAACTGATGATAATGAGTTAATGCAAGGATGGCTTAACAGAAAGTATGCTGTCGGTAGATATCAAAAGCAAGCACAAAACTTTTGGGACCGTGATTCAAGCCCTGTGACTTGGGTAGGAAGTAAATAGCTGTTTCTTAGCAGCACTGCTGGGTATTGGAGTCTGACTCCATTTCCCACATCCATGGAGTGCAACTGGCTACTACCCACTGTCTCCACATTTGGATGTAGTGGCCACGGTTCCCTTGTGCAACTACCAGAACCATACTGGAGAAATCAGACAAAGATTTACATGTGCAGCTTTGTGTGGCACATTTTGTGTTTTCTGATCTCTGGCAGCTTTACCAGACATTCAAGAAAAGCCTGATTCCTTTTTTTCTCCCTTGCTCTCTCTCCCTCAGGATTATACCCGAGTGGTGAGTCCAATTATTGATGTTATCAGCCTGGATAATTTTGCCTACCTGGCAGCATCAGCCGATTTGAGGGGAGGTGGGTATAATGAATGGCTTGTGTAAGATGGGCCTGAGGGATGGTGCATGAAAAATAAGTTACGTTCTCTTCAGCTTTCCAAGAAAACAGTGATGATCTTTCCTGATGGATTCTCTGTCCTTTTTTCTCTGCAACTTGCAAAGTCCTTTGCAGAGTTAGAACAAAACTAGTGTTTTCCGCTTGAGCTTGCATCACTGTCATAACAGTTTGCAACTCCAGGACTTAGTTAATTGATTAGATGTCTCACCATGCCCTCCCTATGCTACATGTACACTGGAGTCTTGACAGGCACTTCCAGTTGCTGCTTTGATCTGCCAGACTATCTCATGGCATCTTCTTCAAAGCGTTTTCACCTCTGCCCTGCAGCTGAACCCCCTGCAGCTGTTCCTGTAGTCACCTCAGTGCCTGATGCCCTTCTACCTGTTCTGTGGCTGGGGTTCACTTCTGCCCTGCTTGTGGCCAAGGGCTACCTGTTCTCTGGCTACCCTCAACAATGATATGAAGTTAGTGACTGTGCTGTGCTCAACTACCCTCACAGGCCAGCTATAAGTAGCCTTGAAAGAGGTGATATTTACAATGATCTTCAGGCCTTTGTTACCAGAATACATCACATCCCACTTTATTAAACCTCATAACTTTGGCAGATAGAGAAGTGTAAGACACTTCTGGCCGAAATACAATTACGTTTCACACTGACAGCACTCTCCTGAAGATGTGGAATTAAATTGAGGAGGGGTCTGTAATGCCAAGGGGTGACGGTGCCAAGACAGAAGCTGGTAACATCTATATTAGGATAGACTATTGCCATTTTGGGTAGACTGTGAGGGTGGTCAGGGAAGGAACAAAGAGATAGCTTGTGATGTAAAGGTAGAGACTATCACTGAAGCTAGTAGTATTGTTTTTACAATAACAAAACCAATTTGACGTGTCTTTTTCCTTCTCAGGGTTTGACTGGAGCCTTCACTTTAAGTGGGAGCAGATTCCTATAGAGCAGAAAATGTCCAGAACAGACCCAACTCAGTCTATAAGGTAACTGTCACTGATGGACAGGGTACAGTCCTCCAAATGCCTTTACCAAGCCTTCACCTGTATGGCAAGGAGGGTACAGAGACTGCCTTGCTGAGGACAAAATGCCAGAGAGTTCACTTGATGATGACAAACTCTTCATGTTAGTTTTTGCATGCATTGAGGTCAATACCCTCTGAATATTGTAAGAACAGGAATTATATACTATCATGCATGCCGCCTCTACAAGCCACCTCTTCTTCTATATGTTTGTTCTTGTGATCTCCCTCACTCAACACACTGAATGCCTCAGAAATCCCTTTGGGGTTTTTTAATTACCTCTACCTTTCAAGTGAAAACTTAAGGACTGAAGCAGATAAACAGTCATCCAGCAGGTGTAAAGCAGATTGGAAAACTGAATCTTACTTAATAATGTGGGCACAGAATTACTTTTGCCTCCTAAATCTGCATGTCGATGGACAGATGAGACAGTTGTTGCCAGCCTCACTGCAGTGTACATGGCTCTGAAACGTGTAGAATGTAACAAATCCTGATATGAAAAGTCACGGTGCTTGTCTGTATAGGCATAAAGCTCCCTATTTGTAATATAAAAGTATCATTTAACTCCTCTGTGTGATTTGTGAGCCTCTGTTTTGCACATCAGAGGCAACCAGCTTGGTAACAGCAGAGCAATAAACGCAACAGCCTGTCACACTGTGTCTAATTGGTGAACACAGTCATCAGACAGTGCCCCTGTCATTCCTTCATACTGTGAATATTTGTATAAATGCAAAAGACACAGCATTACTCCTGTAGTGCTTGCAGGACCATCTAAGACCGTCATCTGCTTGCAGGAGAATGATCTAGTGAGATGGATCTCAGAAACTTGCTGCAGGTTCACTTCCCAACTCTACTCTTTTTCTCTTTTACATGAGGTAAAATTTGTCAGGCCTGGATAAATTGTCTGCCCTCTAAAATTAAGCTTGTGGTGCTACATATACTTGTGATTATTTTGTGGGCTTCTGTTTTCTCTTCCAGAACCCCTGTTATAGCAGGAGGCATCTTTGTGATTGACAAGTCTTGGTTTAACCACCTGGGAAAATATGATACTCAAATGGACATCTGGGGAGGAGAAAATTTTGGTAAGTGTAGGGAATTGTCATTCAAGGGAATGGCACACTAATGCAGAACCTCTTCCCAGTCTTCATCACTTACCAGAATTCTTCTTCTGAGAGATCTGGTCTGTATGTCAGTGTAAGGTTAGGGACATGGCCAGGTAATCCCCATGGTGGTCGGAGCTGTTATTGCTGTCAGCATAAAGTGGAGACATTCTGCAAGCAGGGCTACACTCTCTTACAGGCATATGTGCTATTATACAGGTGCTTCCACAGTACGAGAAAGAAGGAGGAACCTCCTGAAATTTAAATGGTTGCTTCTTTTTGGAGAACATTCCTCCAGTTCTTCACATGACAGTCTGTGTTGCTCCAGCTCTGAAGTGGACAGCCACTCCTACAGTCTCTTATACCTGTTCCTCTCTCGTAGATAAGTCCGAGTTGGTCTCCCAGTTTGACAGGTCAGAAAGATATTTTTCCTAATAAAACAAGTGTCTTTGTAAATGAAATTTGATTACAAATAGATTCAGAATGCAAACATTTAGAAGCAGACTAGGGCATCACAAACATGTAAAGCATTCAGAGGCCCAGTGTAGTCTGTCCACTGTAGTGCTGTTATAGGGCATGGTGCTTAAACCTGTGTCCTTGCACTTAATGGCAGCAGAGATATTCCAGGAATCTCTCTTTGATCAGTGTGAAGGGGTGCTGCAATGTCACCAGATGTTAGTGACAAATGCAAGAAGATGCCATGAGAGGTTCATGGAGACCTCAAGTATTTGGGGCATTCATTTAGAAATGGTGCAGGTGGAGCTGAAGTGATAAAAGCCTTATGCTGTCTTGCACTAACTTAAGTAGATTTTTCTGTAGCTAACACTGCTAAAGAAAATTCTATTTCTACAGCTTGCATAAATGTCACAGATTTGTAAATAAAACCCTTTAAAGAAGAATTTGTATGGTATTTTCTAGCACCTGGAGAACCAACTAGGAAGAACAAGCTAGTCAGGAAGAGGAAACTTTTGTTTCTCTGAACACAGCTGTGAGAACTGCTTGTTTCTGAAATGCTTTCTGAAACCAGGAAATAATATTTTGGGCTGATAGTAGAATATCAAAGTACCACATTTTAAAAGCAAAATATCTAATAATAAGTGCTTGTGTCCTCTGTTTTCTCAGGTCTTGCTTCAGTTTTATGATATTCATTATATTAAAAAGAGATATTACATGGGGCTGGCATTGGGATCTCAACAGTGCTAGTAACATCAGCTAAGCACTGTGCCAGGAAGCCTTTACCCAGGCATGAAGATCCCCTCTTCTTTGTCCCTTGGACTCCTCTGCACAGCCAGACTCAGCTCCTTGCTGTCACTAGCCCTGCTTCAGCTGCAGAGCCAGCTACTTGGACATTCTGCCAACCTCTGAGCTGCAACTCTGTAAAAGGTGTAAGCCTCAAGGAGGGAGAAAGAATATTTCTTTAGGTTTTTGTTTGTCTGCTTCTGCCCACCTGGGAGCCCAGTGTTGTTGTTTGGTCTGTATGATATCAGTAGTATGATAATAAGCAGAGCTCTCTGCCATAAGTAGCAGTAAATTATCTGCACACTCACGGCCATTCTTACAGGTAGAGCTGTTCAAAACCTCCACAGAATTGCTTCGTTCTCCTTGAAATTGCTCTTGTAAAGCCTGGCAGTGGCTGGGCCAGGCTGTGTGAGACTCAGCAACATGTACAGGGCTTACCAGCTTTGCCTTGTTACGTGGTTTTCCTGTAAATTCTGTGTCTACCATCACTTGTCTCTTATCCTCTGTTGAGCCTGTTACTGTTGAATGCAGAGGGATAGAAACCAACCTGTATTTGACAACAAGAAATATTAATTTTCCCTGAAAAATTCAGAATGGTTAATTTAGCCTCTATAAAAAAAATGTTAACCATACTTAATTGAAAACTGGGTTTTCTGATTAAGGAAAACTATTAATAATATTCTGAAACACTATTTTTACTTAAAATTACAGTTTTGAGTGGAAAGAAACTGTTTGGATTAGGTCATCATTTTAGATGAGGTGGAAGAGGGGTTCTGACTAATTTGAGTGGGTGGGATAGGCCATTCTCTGCTCACGAAGGCCATTTTTAATAAACTACTTTGAAACTTTTTTTGTGTGAGGAAATAGGATAAGAGAAGGTATGGGAAGGGCACAGAGCTGGATGAGCTCTACACACACAGCAGGTACACAAAAATGATCAGGCAGCAATTACCAGCTGCTTAAATATCCTTCCAGCTGGATGTGAGCTGGTAAATCCCCTTTTTTCCACTGTGATGGGGAAAAAACACAGTGATTAAGTAATTTAAAACACATATAGACTAGGTCACTTCCTGAAAAATGTACAGCAAAAAGTTCTATTTTTCATCAGAGGATGGATGAAAGTCCTTAATAAGTTATGTTTGGTTTTAATTTTCTCTGATGTGTCCAAAATCTGCATTCTTTTGCCTCTTCTTTAAAGAGTTTTATCATTTACAAACCTGGACATGCAGTCTGTCTGTGTGTCTAAGATGGCATGAGAAATCCTCTCTTGGGAAATGGACGAGACTTTAAGTTACACATGCTAGACTGAGTTATATTTTTGCTGTAGGCCAGAGTGAGTCAGAACCTCATTCCAGGAGAGCAAATGCCAGCTGGACACACCACCAGACATAAACTTATGTCTTGGGCTTTTTTTTTCTTTGTTTTAAAACCCTTCCTCTATTCAAATCTGGAACTCCCTTTTGAAAAGAAACTGAAAATAATAAGCTCAGGAAAAGAGACAAGGAGAGACAAGAGATAGTAAGAAATGCCACAAAATACGGTATAGTAAAATGCGTTTTTTTACTTAGAAGCTAGATTAAATGCACCACCTTCCCCCACCCTGCAACTTACTGTTTAACAACCTCTCTCAGTGTGCAGAGAGGAAAGCAATGGACGAAGATGAAGGTTGGGAAGATGTTAGTGTGTATATATGCTTTCAAACATCCAATAGATCTGGATGCATAATTTCTTTTTAATTTCTAAACATCAGAGCCACATACTTCAGGCATTACTGGAGGGAGATCCCAACTGCGTAAAATTTTTGAAGTAATTAGTCTATACAATCTGAAGCCCTTTTGATAAGGACTACCAAACTACCCAGCTAATTTTCATTTTCCTTCTTCCTTCTTCTCTTCTCAGCACCACATGAAATGTGAGTGGAAAACCCCTCTGGTGTGGCAGTGATTAAATTTGCGAGGACAGACTCATAAGCTTGAGCAAGGTCACATATCTTCTGTGATGCAAATAAGTGCCTGTACATCAAAGCTCCATGTTCTTCTAATCCTTTACCAAAATGTTGAATTTAGCTTCAGGATAGGGTGGATTTCTTCAAGTAGCAGGATTCTCTCCATATTTTTATAGTCATACTATTAGACTCATATCTGCTCTGAGCAGCTTCCCCAGCAGAGGCAACTGTTGACAGACTGTAACACAGTCATCCACTTATTTTCTTTTTTATTTTCTTTTTTTTTTGTTAAATTAGAAATAGACCCAACCAGAACAAGAAGCCATTGTAGGGTGGATAACCTAGAGGTATAAGGGAGAGGACTTTGCTCTAGACATTGAATCTCTATGCCCTCATCTTGTTCTCTTCTTTCTCTTTGTCTTCTAAACTCCTTTTCTTCCTCACATGATTTGCTTTACACAGTAATTCTTCCTTTTTTAATTCCATCTATGTGCAGGGAGGAATGTTACAGGAGTCCAAAACAAGGTGGGTGTGGCAATGATGTCACTGTTGACAAATGCCATCCTGAAGGCCTGACAGAAACCTCAATGACCTGGTCAGATGCAAAGGTGTCTCACTGAAATGCTCAGGGAACTAAAGAGGAGCAGGACTGGAGAAGGCTAGGAAGTCTCTGAGCCACAAGGGTTGCCTCCATTTTAACGAAGGGAGAACAGTTTCTCTTCTCTCACCATGGCATCGCTTTTCCCGATTTTGCTGTTGCAGGCAATACATCTAGAGCAGAGGGGCAAGGAAGTTGCCCTTTTTGGAACTGCTGCCGATCTGCCTGTATCTGTATGACTCTTGGGGTCTCTTCCAGAGCTCTCTTTCCGAGTGTGGATGTGTGGTGGCAGCTTGGAGATCGTTCCCTGCAGTCGAGTGGGACACGTGTTCAGGAAGCGCCATCCCTATGACTTTCCTGAGGGCAATGCACTGACTTACATCAAGTAGGTGTTGAGTAGTTCCTGGTAGCAGCCAGATCACCTTCATGTTGGATATGTCTAAATAAGCCTGAATTCTGTGTTGTCTTCTGCCTGGTAACAGAGAACAGCTTGTGGCTGAGCATCTGTTCTCAAGGGAAGGATGAGTTGCTGTTTTCTGTGAACAAAACCCGTTCCCTTCTCTGTTTGTATTAGTGCATCTTGTTCTTCCTCAGTCTGCAGTGGAGGGGGGAACAGTACCCCAGAGTGAGACTTAGCTGTTCATGGATACTGCCTTATGACATGTGCCTGTGTATTGGCAGTCCTTAGTTATCTCTGTTGTCTCTGAGCTGTATGTGCTCTGAGAGAAGCCCTGAGGATGACTTCTACTGCAGGATAGATGGGAAGGGAAGAGTGTTGAGACAAAGTGTTTGACAATGAGAGTGGTTAAGCATTGCGTCAGGGCCCCAGAAAGGCGGTGAAATCTCCATCCTTGGAGATTTCAAAACTCAACCAGTCAAGACGCTGAACAACATGACCTAATATGAAGCTAGTCTGCTTTGGGCAGAATGTTAGATGTTAGAAGTGCATTCCAAGCTGAATTATCCAATAGTGTTATTCTAATCTGGGGAAAGGAATACTGTAAATGAGTGGGATGGTGACAGTCAGTCCAGGTGTCTCTGCAGAGGGAGTATGTGTGAAAAAGTCATGGTAAACTATGGCTATTAAAATTTTAACTTCCAAACAGAAGCGTTCCTGCAAGGCTTTGTAGACTTAACACATTCAGTCTCTATCCATCCATACTGCCCAGTGTGTTTCATATTTGGGACCATCCCCCACTCCCTCCTGGCAGACAGGCCTTAGTTCTGCTCACCCAGTCAGCACCTGCTCACTGGGAGGGCAGGTTCTCCAACAGCACTCAGCAAATCATCTCCTCATCCCCCTGCAGGAACACCAAGCGCACAGCAGAGGTGTGGATGGATGAATACAAGCAGTACTACTATGAGGCCCGACCATCTGCTATTGGGAAATCGTTTGGAAGGTAAGCTGCCCCCAGACCTTGGTAGGAGGCTCTGGTAAAACGCTTGGTAGCAACAAATAGTTTTTAAACCTTCTCTGGGGCTAAGTGTGAGAAACAGAGATGCTCTAAAAGGCTTGCTTGCCAGGGAGGTTGTAGCTTGAGTGTCTGGCTAATGAGGTTTGCTTCTAAATCCTTTTATTTTTCCCCCAGTAACTTTGCATAAATCATCTCTTAGCAGCAGGCCAGAGGGATCTGTAATGAAATTAAAAGACCAAACATTTTAAGTGGATTGATAGGAATATTTTTTTAACACAACATGCAGCTGTTCTAGAAATGCAAGCTATGCAGTTACTAGAGCTTGACCTGAAGTTCCTGTGTGGATAGAATCTCAGGGCAAGCACAGCTGGCTGGCACATGGGGCAGGTTGCACTTGGTGCACTCCCCTCTTTCCTGATGAGTGAATGGGTAGTTTGCAGGAGAGAACATGGGCAGTGGTGAGACATGTCATTCAGAAACACAATCTCTGCAGAACTGTGCTCCTTACAGCACCTTTGCTAAAGCTGTCTTCAGGCCACATGGGATTCATTGTTGCAGGCTTAACCGTTCTCTGTGACCCAGAAATCAGTGATGGACTGAGATGAGAGGAGAGCTTGCTCTCTGTGCTATCAAACCCCTTTGAATCCCAAATAAATGTAAAAATCCCAGGAGTGCTGTATACCTGTGGGTTGTATTTGCCCTGTGAACAAATGGCTATTGTATCAGTGTAAGGACTTGGCAAATGTGGTTGTATCTCAAATGTGTAGCTATGTGCACTGGGTAATGATGCATGTCCTTCTTATTTGATGACAAGCAGGTCACTTTTTTTGCTGTACATTGTGCTTTATTATCATGATGCATTACATATCTTGGTACAAATAGCTTTGCCTGCCTAATTTATCTGTCCTTGGGCTGACTGCAGCAGCTGGACTAGGGCCAAATAGCAAGTAACCCTGCTGCTTGTGAGGGAAATCGGACTGTTGCATTTTGTACATGGATATATTGCTCATGTGTTTTAGGGGCCAAACCTGCAGCTCTTGTTCACACAGACTTCCTAGTGACTTTAGTGGTAGCATTGGCTGAATAAGAGCTGGAGCAAAGTGTAAGGCTTTGATTTCAGGCAATTTCTTGACCTGTAGTAACAATCCTGTGAACTTTAATCTAGAACCATTATATCTAGATTTTAGAATGGAAATGCCTTTGACACCATCACTGACAACGGGGCCTATAATGGACCCTCCTTCCCCACAATTTTGGTATATAGAATCTAAGTACATGTTCCTGAGGTGTGTGGCCTCATGTATATGTACAGTGGCCTCTGGGGGCTGAGGATGGCAAGGTGCATAAGTACAGTTGAAATTTGTTCCAACACACAAATGTAGTGTTACAGCTTGAAGACAAGAGCTCCTGGTTTCACTGCTCACAGAATCACAGAATATGCTGAGTTGGAAGGGACACACAAGGATCACTGAGTCCAACTCCTGGCCCTGCACAGGAGCATATCCAGGACTCACACCATGTGCCTGAGGGTATCACCTAAACACTTCTTGAACTCTGTCAGCCTTGGTGCTGTGACCACTTCCCTGGGGAGCCTGTTCCAGTGCCCAACCACCCCCTGGGTGAAGAACCTTTCTCTAATATCCAACCTAAACCTCCCCTGACACAACTTCAGGCCATTCCCTCAGATCCTGTCACTGATCACCACAGAGAAGAAATCACTGCCTGCCCCTCCTCTTCCCCTCACAAGGAAGTTGTAGACTGCAATAAGGTCTCCCCTCAGTCTCCTCTTCTCCAGGCTGAACAGACCAAGTGACTTCAGCTGCTCCTCATACGGCTTCCCCTCAAGACCCTTCACCATCTTCAATGCCCTCTTTTGGACTCTCTCTAACAGCTTAATGTCTTTCTTATATTGTGGTGCCCAAAACTGCACACAATATTCAAGGTGAGGCTGCCCCAGTGCAGAGCAGAGCAGGACAATCCCCTCCCTCGACTGGCTGGTGATGCTTTGCCTGATGCCCCCCAGGACAGGGTTGGCCCTCCTGGCTGCCAGGGCACTGCTGACTCATATTCAACTTGCCATTGACCAGGACCCCCAGGTCCCTTTCTGCAGCACTGCTTTCCAGCATCTCATTCCCCAGTCTGTAGGAACGTATGGGGTTGCCCCATACCAGGTGCAATATCCAGCACTTTCCCTCATTGAACTTCATATAGTTGGTGTTTGCCCAGTTCTCTAATTTGTTGAGGTCTCTCTGCAGGGCCTCCCTGCCTTTGAGGAAGTCAACAGCTCCTCCGAGTTTTGTGTCATCTGCAAACTTGCCCAGTATCCACTCCAGTCCTGCCTCCAAGTCATTTATGAAGATGTTGAAGAGCACAGGGCCTAAGATGGAGCCCTGCAGAACCCCACTTGAGAGTGACTGCTTGAGAGAAATTCTCTCGTTCAGCCAGCTAAAGCCAAGCAAATCAACAATGTGAGGACTGGTGCAGCAGACAGTTACTGAGATGTCGAATTAGTCTCCCCCTATACTATTCCCTTTCCCCAAACAGCTTAAGAACAAATAACTAAGTTCTCCAGGTCTGAAACCCAGCCTGAGCCTAGAGCTGCTGCCATGAGCTAGAGACACTCTTTAGCACACACAGATGAATCATATGTGCATACCTGAGCATAAACACTTTCTAGGCCTTTTCAGCAGCTGATCACTGTGCAACTTTCATGATATGCATCTGCAGGGGCACTCAGAGGCAGAAGTGCTTTCCTGATCCTACAGTAGTTTTACTGCAATGTATTATTTAACAAGGTAGGACCTGGGCCCTGCCATCACTCTGAGCTAAAGGAAGTGGAAGAAGAGCTTTCTGGAAGAACAGCTTTCTTCCATTTTTGTTTCTTGCCACTTGCCTCTCTCCTTTTCACCTCAGGTCACTGCTAGTGCTCTGAACCCAGCAACAGCTTTGTGGGAGAATGAGTAATGGCAAAACGTCATATAATCTCCCTCAAACCTCCTGGCTAATCTTCATTGTTCCCCTCCCTCCTGTTCACTGCCTTATCCTCAACAACTACTTTTGTTTCCAGTGTTGCAGACCGAATGGAGCAGCGACGCAAACTGAACTGTAAATCCTTCCAGTGGTATCTGGAGAACGTCTACCCTGAGCTCAAGTGAGTCAGTTTTTCACTTGGAGAAATCTCTGAAGGATTTGGGAGGTGGGTCACAATGAGAACCTGAGCCTTGATGGCAGTGGACAAAGGAAAGACTTACACTTAGAAAGTCTTTCCTCAATTCTTCTTTTTGGTGAGAAACCTCCTGTGTTTTCCTGGCATATATCATCACAACTCTGCAAAAGGTTTGTTGCTCCTGCCTCTGGGAGCCTTCTGCTCCGCCCCACATAGCTGTCCCTTGGAGATGTGCAACAGTGGTGTTTTCAGAGGTGCAAGGTGGGGATGAGCACTACATCCCTCCCAGTTATGACGTGGTCTCTGCCCGTTGGATGCTCTGCCTGGAGGTAGTTGAGCCAAGTAGAGCTGGACAGCCTCAGTGCAGAGGTGTGGGTGATTCAGAGAAAGCTCTGATGAATGCCTGTGACTTCACCTGCCCTGGGTCAGGACTCAGTAGTGTTTGTGCCCTTGCTCAGCTGGGAGGTAGCCTGGATAGATCTGTGTTTGTTAGCATATGCTATCCAACACACCTTTACGTCTCAGTCTGTGGCTAACATGAGTGGAGGCTAAAACATCCAGCTGTAGTCTGGCTTTGACAGACTTTACCTGTATTCCTACCATTGAGACAATGAGTATGTGTTACCAGTAGGGAGAAGACTGAAAAAGGGGGAGGCAGAAGCAGGGTAAATCAGTGTGGATATAGCTTTTTGCTGGAAATGGCCTCTTTCAGAATTTCAGAATCAACACATTAAACTGCTTGGGGTATACCTAAAGATCCTGATATGCCTTCTGAAACAAAAAGATACCAGTCCTTTGACCAAGTTCTCCCTTGACTTTTGCCTCCTCCATATATTTCAAATGGATAGCATAATATTGTTCCTTTTCTGTCAAATATAGGGGGCTGTGTTTCAGTCAGGGGCCTGTTAAGCCCTTATAAATGTGAAAGTGCTTTGGACATTTCTGAATATGAAGTACCATGCAACTGTCATTTTACTTCAAGGATTCCTGAAAAGGAGTTGATTCCAGGAATAATTAAACAAGGAGGAAACTGCCTGGAGTCTCAGGCACAGGATACCACAGGGAATATATTGGCTGTCATGGGAAACTGTAAAGGGACAGTGAACAATCCACCTGTCACTCAGGTAAGGCACGCTTCAGTTTGGTGCTTTGCTGCTGCTTCTACCCTTTTTATTACCTGAGATTGAAAAGGCATTTCTGTCCTTGGTGGGTTTGTATGGAGGTGAATGAAGGAAGAATTTGGCCATTTGGAAGAATGATTTTAATCACAAGCAGAAGAACAAGCTGTGCCCATCTCTTAGACCTTTGTTGGCTCAACAGACTCAGCAGTCAGGCGTAGTGTAGGAAGTTCCATCACTCAAAGACGAAAGGTAGTGCTTGAATGCCCCGGGGGTGACAAGTTGTGCAGTAGATGTGCAACCAGGGTTTAAGTCATGTAGCTGTTCCCACTCAGATTGTTGCTCGGATGTGCTCTGCTTCATTGTCCAACCCACCAGAATCGTTCCATGGCTGTGCTTGGCTAGTACTTCAGCATGTGGGTAAGAGATTTTCCCAGGATCAGAAACATTCCTTGGTCTGCCAGTTTAGCTGTAGCTGCAGATAACTTGAATTGTGCTGTTTTACAGATGTGTTTCAATTTAAAGCCCAAATAGAGTTTAAATAGCTAAGATCCCAGCTGCAGTAATATGGTGCAGCTCTCCTAACTGCTGTGGAACTGTACTGGTTTATGTGAGCTGAAGATCTGCACTCAGCCTCTTCTTTTGGCGATTAAAAGCAGCAGGGAAGCAGCTTGAGAAAGTTAAGGGTCACAGTAGGATATTTTATGCCAGAAAACACATATTCACATCTGTTAACTGTTAGAAACTAGTTTGCAGCCAGCATTCAATGTGCTGTTTAATCTGACTCATTGTTCCATGTCATTACCATTTGAAATCTCCGAAATTTACTGCATTTTGTATTTCTTCCTTGGGGAAAGTACAGTAATAATAGTTGATTGGGTCAGGCATTCCTCTAGTCAGAGGGAAAAATGAAGCAGCTTGTCCTTTATGTGTGCTGATGATACATGGATATGCTTGCATGTGTTTTGCTTCGCTTGACAATCTATAGGTCCAGGATACCTGTTACAGAACATGTCTGCTGTAAAATGTGCAGAAGCAGTTGCACGTCTTGTAAGTCAGTGCTCAGGGTCCTCCTTGCTTTGTAGTCCTGAATCTGTAAAGCTGCAGAGCAAAGAGTTGCATGGGATCCAAGGTTAATCTGACATCTCAGATGGTGAGGGGAGCTAGCTGCAGGCTTTGAAATGGTCATGGTGCACCAAGCCTGAGCATAAACTTCTGATCAGGTGAAGACTGCTGTGGTAGTCTTCCCAGGGAGCCTTTGATAAGAATAGAACAAAGGATAGAGGTTTTTTAATATCTGATGGAAAAAACTCTCTCCCTCATCTGATCACTGTTGTGATCCTAATGGAACCTTTCTTTTTCTTATTCCAAAGGAGTGGGTATTCAGTGACCCTTTAATTAGACAGCAGGACAAGTGTCTTTCCATTACCTCCTTCTCTACTGGCTCTCAAATCACAGTGGAAGCCTGCAATCAAAAAGATGGCAGACAGGTAGGTGCGCCTGTTTTTAATCCCTTCGTTGCCACATACCGGTGTTCCTGCATCAGTGCAGCCAGCAGGGACAAACCTAGTACTATCAAAGCATATAAAAGTCCTTTCCATCTCCATCTCTGATGTATTTCATAAGCTTGGATGTATGAGATTGCTCACAATCAGAGCAGGACGTGCAGTATGTGTGTGTCTGCTCTGCCTGGGCCCTCAGCAGCATGGGTAGCTCCAGCTCAGTAGCACCCTAACCTTGCTTCTTGAATGTGGTAATGTGCAGCCAGATTGGTGCAGGGATGGAGCACGGCATCAGAGAGAGGTAGGTAAGGCAGATGCTTTGAGAAACCTAAGGGAACAATGGTGTGTGCTATCATTTGTTTGTTTATTTATTTAGAAGTGAGAGAACTGTGTTCTTTGTGCTGTCTTTGGACATGTGAACAGACCTTTAAAACTAAGTGTGTGCAGCTCACTTGAGAAATGCTGACTGGCATAAAGCACTGTATGTTCCACCCAAACTGCTCCCTGGAGGAAAAATACACAGCAGCAATGTTCCTGACAAAATGCTGCTCTGTGACTTATGCTGTTTCCAAGATGTGCATCCCTGATCTGTCAGGACAAATCAATCATTTTGCCTTACAACATTAGGTGAGAGATGGCCTCTGCAATGGCCAGGGTGCTCTCAATAGAGATGTGATGTGCCTTTTTATCAGAACTGGGCAAAACACAAAAGGTGACAGCACAACACTGGCAGACAGCAGATTGGGCTTTTTTCACTCATAGTTGCTGTGCTTCCCTCTGCACCAAGAGAGAACAAGTTTTCTGTCATCTAAGGCTATGCTGACTTTGTGCTTTCTGACGTGTCTGTTATTTTGATAGCCCAAAGTTAGGAGAGGGCTCAGCTTGCTACGAGTCCTTAGTAGTATCCTCTTTTGTCAGTACTTTTTAATGCTATATGAATCCTTGAAATTAGTACTTCCTGAAGGAAAGCACTGAAATCCAGTCATGCCTGTTTATGGGAAACCTGTGTAGACTTTCCTCTGGAGGACTGGTTAATGCAAAAATGTCTTTAAGAGTTGTCACCATAAATACACAGGGAAACTCTTTAAGTTCAGATAAGTCTGCAAGGATATCCCAGGTGGGCTGTGCTTGCCTGCTCCTTTTTGTTGGTGGTAATCACTCACCCCCTTGCTGTGTAAATAGGTCACTTAGCCTCCCCTTATGTGTCTTGCAGTATTTTCCTCCCTGGCAGCAGAAAAAACTCTAGCAGCTGCCAAAATCAGCTGTCTTTCCCTGTCCCCTGTCATGGAAGGACAAGGGTCCCTCGAGGAGGGTGGAGTCCAAGCTCTGTCAGCCAGAAGAGAGATTAATTCACAGTAACACAAGCAGGCTTATTCTGCTGTTGGAATAGGATTTATTGAGTCTTGATGTGTTGATTATATACAGGCTCATTATAAAGACATGCACACATACTTAAGGATATGAGCTGTTGTTTTCCATTACCTTATATGAACAAACTGCACTTAAATCAAGGACTTGACCTAGCAGATGATTTAACCAATTGACTGTAAGCAAGGATTTTGTTTAAGCATTTCAAATAGTTAGAGATTGATTTGAATTACAGCTGCCATCCCAAACTACCTTGCAGCTGAAGGGATGAGGTGGGAGAAATGCATTTGAATTTTTAATTTAATTTGGGTTGAAATGCTTTTAAATGTTGGGGTCTTTTTTGTAGTCCCAAACTCCCATTTCAGATTTGTACTTACAAAGCCAGTTCTACTTGCAGTGCTCAAGTTTGTTGTGTTCCTGGGGAATGTTGTTATGGTTCTTCCCTTCCATAAACACAACAGTAATTGTTGCTCACACTGACATTAGATTTTAATTAGCTAGAAGCCAGTCATCTTGCAAACTATCCCATTCTCTCTCCTCCTGAGAGGTTGATTTTCAAGAAAGAGCAAAGCTGGAGGGAACAAATGCCCTCAGCTGCCCTACAACTCGCCTATCTCCCCGTGGATACTCATAGCCCAAAGTGCAAGAACTGGGGGAGAGCAGTGTTTCCAAACTGCAGATGGGTGTATCCACTTCTCAGTTCAAGTGGACTTCTCAGAAAGTCAGAGGAGCTGACTGGGGGTGGAGGCAGGGGAGTTGAGCTACTTCAGGGAGCTGGAAGTGACAAGGAAGAGCACTGAGTAGGTGGGCTAAGTGGAAGAGGGTGAGCCTGAAAAACATGCATTGCATGGACAATATCCTAAGAGGAGATGGCAGCATAATAAAAGTCCAGCTTTGAACATCTTTGCTGTCATTGTCATCAGAGATCTGTGGTGAAAGATGTTTGGACTTTTCTGGATCTGGATTTCATGTCTGTGTCTGAGTCATGAAAAAGCAAGATTTCTGACAAAAGATGAGACACGTGATAACTTTGTTTTTTAGTGTCACTGGAGTAGATTAGTTAGATCCTTATGACAGCACCATACAGCTCCTAAAGTTGGTTTCTGCTTTCTAACATACTGAATCCGTGCCCATGCTACACAGCTGTTGTCCACAGGGCAGCTAATTTTGTTGTTAATTTTGAGTGCTGACAACAGTCCCATCTAACATATAGCTAATACTCTAGCAGAGCCCTTAGACTATTATGAGTTGTATCTAGGGTATTACCTCAAAATAAGTCTGGAATTTTGCAAGCAGGAGGATATGAGAGAATAGTTAAACTTTAGATGGTTTTTGGTTCTGTCAGACTGTTCTCCCTTGGGTTGAAAGAAGTCAGAAATTAAATTTATTTGGCACCATGATCACATTGATCATTCAACAGCAACAGCTGGCACTGCTAGCAGAAGACCAGCCAAAAGCTATTCTGCATAATCAGAAGTAGATTTCTAACCAGATGGATGTTATCCATAGTGTTATTTGGGGAATAGAATTTTTAGTTGAATGCACAATAAATTATTGCCTTTAGCTTTATTTTTGGCTCTGACTGACAGTGGGAGTGGCATTTTAATTTGTATTGTAGTGAGGACAAATAGAAGGCAAAGCAAGAGTCAGACACTAAAACAAGAGAATGAAAATGAGAAACATTGGCACAGTATTGCCCAACGGAACAAGAAGCATGCTGAGAAATCTTATTAAACAACTATATTTCATTAAAATGTGCTGAAGGAATGCGACCTCAACCTGAAAATGAGGACACCAAGTTTTCTTGTGAGACAAACAGTATTTGAAGTCCTGTATCCCTTTGTATACAATTAGGAAATTTTTCCCACTTTGCTTCTCAGTGTATCATGTTATCTGAAGTGAAGATTAATGCAACTTTATATAGAGTATCAGAAAAGAGAAGGATTGAAAGCCTGTTTATTCTGAAAGCACTTGACTCAGCGTCTTCATGATAATAAGTAGGTTACTGGCAGTATGCTGCAGCTTGAAAGCAGTTTTCAGGAGACAAGAGTTTCTCTCAATTGTGATTCTTAGTTTTACAAATTTAGGTGCTCAAAGGAAGACAGCAGTTGCTGGATCCTGGTGTGAGCTTTTCCATCACATTGTCTGCTCATATATTTAAAATTTACTGTTCATCATCTTCATGACCAGCTTCAGGCTGCCTATGGCTCTGCAAATACATTCAATTGCAACTTGTAGCATCCTTGGCTATTCCAGTTATCAGCTCTCCATAGATTTCTGTCTGAAGCATCTCAGTCCTCATCAACAAAATCTGCCTTTCTCGACTGTATTTCCTGAGTTGGGCCAACTCTGCTGAGTTTCATGGTCGGATCTTGAGAGAACCCCTGGATTGCCTGGATTATTGGGAGTTAAAAGAAAACATTTGATTATCCTGAAAAATTATACTAGTGTAAACAACTTCAGCTCTTGTATATATTGGGTAGAAGAGGACTGGCTGTTTCTGACTTTTCTCTTGGTAATTTGCACATAGAGTGCTTCTGTCCTGCCACCTCAAAGTACTTTGAAATGATAGATGAAAAAAGATGGAGAGAGATATTTACAAAAAAAGTGTGGAAATTTTTGGTTGACACTGGGGAAGAGGATCAAGACACAATGTTTCAAAGAAAATCTGGATTCTTTTTTCCCCCTCCATCTTCACTCCAAATCTACTCTGACCAGTAAACTGTATTATCTTCATCTGCACAAGAAAGGGAGACCAAAGAGGATTTTCACGCCAAAAATTTTCAGATTTTGCAATGCTTGTGTCTTCCAAAAGCTTTACTTCCGAGTCATAATGTCTTGGTGTAGGAGAGTAGAGGACTCCCTGTAACATTTGGCTGTGTATGCAGAAAGTGTCTGCTCTGTTTATTTTTTGCTGAAGATGGGCATTATTGGCATCATTTAAAATTATCTGTCCAGGCTCTCTGTATGGTCTGTGGAGAAAGCTGGGCTGTGCCAGAAGGTTCTTGTACCTTGGACTCCTCCATAAGTATGTCACGAGGGAACTAGTTTAGACTAAGTTGCCCAGTTCTGAAGTGGCTGACAGTGGGAGATGAGCATCCTACCTCCTGTTTCCACCCATTCCTACTGCCCACCCTCCTCAAGGGTCTGAGAGGGCAGGATGTTGGGCTGCCTTTGGTAATTCTGTGGTCTGACAGTCAGACGGGGGGGGCTTCTGAAAGGTTCAGGTGAAGTCGGGGGGTTGCTCTGGGATCTCGTGAAGGGCAGCAAAGCACAGTTTCTGACCAGAAAGGGTAAAATCCATCATTCTGAATGTACCACTTCTGTGTGAGATGAGGAGCCCTACTTTGGCTTTTACTGTTGGTGTGTTTTATAACAGCTTCATACATGGCAGGGGACCCCTGGTGGTCTAGTGTTTAGGATGCGGCACTCTCACCGCCGTGGCCCGGGTTCGATTCCCGGTCAGGGAACCCCTCTGGGCAGATGGAGCTGGTCAGCCCTGTAAGGCCATCCATCCAAGAGAAGGTCACTCTAAACAAACCTACGTCCTGAGGACCTCACTGCCACCGTCCGAGCTCGCTCGGCCCCAGCAGTTGAACCTTAGGATTAAAGGGTGGGCTCAGTTCAGCGCACACTGTGTCTCACCTAAAAAATCCACTGCGCAGGCTCAAAGGGTAAAGACCTTTCCCAAATCTTCATTCGCGAAGACTGGCCATACTATACTATACTAAAAATACATGGCACCTCCCTGCAGCCCAGGGAAGCCTTATCTTCAACTCTCACCTTCTCGGTGTTCCTCTTCCCCCTTCCCCATCCTTGTCCTATTTTATTTTGAACAAAGGCACCTGGGGTGACTTGAGATGCTATGCTTCTCAGTGGTATTATTCACTGAGAAGCTGATTGATTCGGTGTAGTTTGTTAGCAGCAGCAGATGTGCTCTGGTGAGCGTTTACTGGTGTCCTGCTGTGGCTGCAGACTCTCCCTACAGACTTCACAGTGGGTACCTGCTCGGCATGGACAAGATGCCACAGCAGCAGGTCTCTGATCTGGAGGAATAAAATGAGCAAGCCTCCAGTGGTGCTAGTTTTCTCCTGAACAGCTAAAAGGAAGAAGAAAACCAGTGTCCCTCAGTAATTGCTCTCGTACCCACATAGGGAAAGGTGAAGGACGAGACTGGGAATTCACAAATACAGAGAGGTGGTGGGAGAGTAGAGGACAAGGAACTAGGTGGGCTTTGGAGAAGGTCAAAAGACTCTTCACTGAGTTGTCTGTGACTCTGGGAAACACTGTCATGCAGCGATCGCAGCAGCTGGGCAGAGTGTGCAGCTTTCTAGGGGAGAAGACCTCCTGCTTTACACTCCATCATTGCAGCTGCTGCCTTATGGTATTAACTCTTCCTCAGCTCTTTGTAGGGAGACTTCTGCCAGATGGGAGCCAGATGGCTCTGGGTGTAGACAGTGGGTTGCAGCAGCTGGTGAGGGCGTTGTAGTGCACAGACTGCATTGTAGCTCCCTGTCCACCATCACTGCATTCCTCTGCCCCCTTACCTGTTAAAACCAGATTTTTCCTGCTGCACAAACAGCTCTCCTTTAGTAGTATCCTGTCAAACAGGACTAGCACTACTGGCAAATTGATGCTGCCTCTGCTACTTAGTCTTGAAGAAATATGTGATACAGGAGCAACAGATTACTCTGAGCTTTCCAACTGCCCTGCCTTCCAAGAAACATAACCAGTGCACAGACCTGGAGGGCAGCTGCCAGCAATATATGAACCTAACTGGATATCTTAAACCACACACCATGTGGCAACGTTTTTGCCATGTTACACAAGAATTAAAATGTTTGTAGGTTTTGACATTGTCCAGATATTGCAGGAAATTTTTTAATTCACTTTGCATATAGTTTCTGCAATAGCCTTGAAGTCCACTAGTGTTGCAAATTGTTTATTTTTCTCCATCAGTCTCATGGGTTAACCAACACATATTCATAATATTCCTAAAATGTTTACTGACTGAGCACCCAGATCATAATTCTGTCTGGGTCATCTGTGTGACTGAAAAGAATGATGGGAAAATCCCTGAAGCCTGGACCCCTCAATCCTATAACCTACTGGTCTCAGCTGTGTCCCACTGGAGGTGAATGGCACTGCCTCACCTGGGAGATTCCAAACCCACAGACTCATTTTGACTTTTTTGTCTTCATTATTAGCCACAATGTTCCCAGTTCTTTCTAGCAGGGATGGAAGGTACTCAGCAGAATTTGCAGTGCAAGGTTACAGCATATGTTCTGTTTCCTGGCAAGCAGCACAACTGAAGTGGACCTTCAGGAAAGGGTTGCATGTGGGACCTTGTGCATATGCTCTGAGGGGAGCAGACCCAGAGGAAAGCACTGCAGAAAGCAGAGCAATATGCACTGAGAAGCTGTCAAATGCACACTTATAAACTGAAATGTTGACAGGGAAAATAAAATTATGAAGAAGAGACAGCTGAGAAGGTGCAGAACTATGAAGAGCTTTCAATGTAGTGCTCACAAAAATCTTGAATTTTCTGAGAGAAGAGATGAGGGGACATGGAAGAGAGAGAGATCCAGTGAACAGTAGGAAGTGTGGACGTATTTCTTTCTGTGTTGGGAGACCTTTCAATGCTTTGCTCTCTATGGACTGGAAAGAAACCATAGAGGGGTTTCAGGTTTTGACAGGTATCTGGCTGCATGGAGGTGCAGGACAGAGAATGGCAGGGAAACTGCAAATATAATATGCATTTGAAAATGTCACTACTTGCTGATTCTTGTGTTCATAGAATATGCTGAGTTGGAAGGGACCCATCACAATCATCAAGTCCAACTCCTGGCCTGCACACCCCAAGAATCACACCATGTGCCTAAGAGCATTGTCCATACACTTTGAAATCCGTCAGGCTTGGTGCTGTGACCACTAGTGTTGTTTGCCTTCTAGATGCTTCTGAATATCTAGCCCTATAATTCAGCTACACCCTAACCCTACCTAACTCCAGATGTTGTTAATACAGGAAACCAGCGATTTGGAGATGCTGTCCATACCCAGATTTTCACTCTCTCCAGTTGTTGAGGTTTACTTGATATTTAGGCTCAACCTTCAGCTTGAAGGCACAGTTGTGTGGTGAAATGGAAGTAACAGCATGTTTTTTCTGTGTCTTCTCACAGAAGTGGAAGATGAAAGGCAGTTTCATTCAACACTTTGTCAGTGGTCTCTGCCTGGAAAACAAATCTGGAAGAATGGTCACCAACCCGTGTCAAGCAGGTGTACCTGGCCAACAGTGGGAGCTGCTACAAGCAACATGATGGTAGCACAGAGATCTCTTCGTTTCTTTGTGCATGAGGCTTTGGGAACAGAGGGGGATTGGAAAGGGAGGAATGGTTTTGTATGTCTGACCCTAAACGCTTTCATTGTGCCCATCAGTAAGCCACCATTTCAGCTGAGCACTTGGTGTTTTTGAGCTTTTCAGAGAAGAAGCTGGGGGTGAGATGGATCAGGAGAGTTGCTGAAATCTTCCCATCTGTTGTCTTAAGTTCTTCTTTGTAGCTGATGCCCATGCACAGCTGCACCCAGAGATGGGGGAGGACCCAGCCCAATACTTGGACTGACCAGAAGTACCTTGCAGCTGTCCCCATCCTTTCCTTTTTCTGCATCCAGATTCCATGACCTTCAGTTCAGCAGCTTAGGCTATGCTTGTACAAACATGGGTAGCTCTTTGGCTTCCCTGGCTTTTTGCTCTAACATCACGCATCCTTTATGTTTTCTCTCATTACCTCACTGTCAGTGAGGACTGGCCAGAATAGTCATCATGATGAGTGGAGAGGCTGAGAAAGAACTAGCAGACCCTGGGAACAGGTTTGTCACCTCTTTGTGGTGGACCCGTTCCATCCTTTGCCCACAGTAGCTGCCCTACAGCCAAATGTGCTGAGGCTGGCACAATGCTGACAAGACAGATGGAAAAGGGACAGTCTGTTTTAGCAGCGTTACCAGGGATTGTTTTGGGACTATTCCCTGTTGAATTCTTCCTTTAAGCTTTTTTACATGTGGAAGGCCAGCCCTGCCTCCAAGAGTGATCCCAGCCTGCAAGTTCAGGGTACCACACTCTGATGGAACCAGTCAGAAAAAGGTACCAGCACTTTGGGATGTCAGGAAAGTTGAGACTGTTCTCTGACTGCTCTTCCTGGTGTTACCAGACACTGCCCACTGCACTCCACACCCCAGGTGATGCACAGAGCTATGTGGGCAGCACACACAGACAGTGACACTGCATATGGCTCAGGCCTGTGACAGGAATCCACCCAGTTCCCCGCTGTGAGAGGCAGAAGGGGACAGCCCCTAGGTCACAGCAGACTTCCTGCTATTGGCTGGGCAGGACCACAGTCCTCGTGCTGGCTCTCTAGCTCTGCATAGCCCTTGTGAACACAGCCTGGCATGACAAGCCACCCAGTCCCTCTATCTGGTTGCTTTTCCCCCTCAGAAAGAGGAGGCAAAAAGGCTGGTGGCTGCCCTACTTTTGACCCCCTCTGTCTTCCCAGTGAGCACCTTAGCTGGTAAAGCCTAAACTGTCCCCTGCACAAATGCTGCCACAGTGCAGGTCCCCCCTGAGAGATCTCTCCTTTGTGTTCTGGAAATACCAAAGACAAGCTAGCATCCCAGTCTTGCTCTCAGTTATCAGTCAGCTCTAGCTGAGTGTGGGTTTTCAGACCTGCCAGGCGACACTTACCTATTGAAATAAATAAAAACTTCCCCACTGCCTTACCTTTTCCTACTCAAATCTGTTAAATTTTCCTCTTGAGCTAGGTTTTGTAAACTAACCCTCTTTTTCAAGAGCCTGACTGGGGAACCAGGTGGTAGGACCACCTTCATTAGGCAATTGCTTGCCTGGGTCCTTTATGATCTGATGTAGAAGAAACAGGTTGTTCATCTGGATTCTGAACAGCTGGCTGCTTTTGATCATGTTTGTATCTCTTTTTAATTCTTTATCTTAGCTTGGTATTAGCCCAAACAGTTGACAAAAGAACAGATACTGTTCTTCATACGTTGCATGTGCTCAGAAGTGCTTGTGTGAGAATGGGACAATGCTTTTTTTTCTTGGTTTTAAAAACTTAAATCTGTCACATGGCAGGAGCTCTTTTCCTGTGTCCCTCTTCACTTTGACATTTGCTCACTATCTTGGCACTGATTAGTTAGAAGAGTGATCTGCCTGCACTGTGAAAACTCATGAGGGAGTTCCGTTTGGTCATTACAGAATGGTGCAGCTGCACTTCCGTGTTGGAATGGGGGCACTGACTCTGTGGTGATTTCTCTTTCCCTGTATAGAGATGCTTTGGGCTGGAAACACTGAGGTCAGAAGAGAGCAGAGAAGGAAGGAAAATAGGGTAGGAATAGAAAGAGGGCAGGACAGACAGATCCATCAAAGGGAGAAATGCCATCCTATTAGCTATTGCATTTTTAATCAAGAATATACGTGAGATGCTACTCCCAGAATGGCATCATTATACAACAGAAAACAGGAACAGCCAAAGTCTCACATACCTGGATTGAAAAATGTTGATGCAAAGAGAGATGAAGGGCCACGGAGCAGGTACTGTACGGATGCTCTGTATACAATGAAGTGCAAAAGGATTGTGTATTTTCGTCAAAATGCATCCTAAGTGGACCATCTGAGCTCCCCCCATTTTACTCTCCAGCAGCTTAAGGGTTGCAGCTAACAGCATGTTCACTCCTCCACCAGGTATTGCTCCTTCCTCCTTGCTCCCACTGTGTGTGCGGCTTTCTTGCAGTTCCTTCTTCATAACCGTTCTGGGACTAGGACCCAGCTCCTCTACAGACAGTTCTCCTGACTGCTGCAGGCCACAGAAGCTCTGCTTTTATACAGTCTCCAAGCTCTGGACCAGGCCTGATTCAAAGGGCTCTTGTCAGTACAATGGCTACTGCCCTTGACTGTGTGTTTGGCTCCACTTTTGGAGGTTACTGACTGCTCCTGGAGCAGATACACCTGGACTGGCTGTGTTGATTTGTACCTCTCTTGCTACTGCTCTCCTCATGACAGAGGGTTAACTGGCAGCCTTTTGGGGCTGTGAGCTGGCCTTGGGGAGAAAGGGGAAGAGGTGGACATGCTAGATGTCAATATGCTAGATGTCAATAACTCAAATTGTTTCTGGAGTTAGGAGTTAAAAAATAAAACTCTACCTGTTTTTGGACATGTTCTCCTGAGGTCAGCTCCCCACTACTCACTATGCTTTCAGCCAAACAACTGCTCTGTCTAGACACAGAGCTCCCCACACTTTTGGAAGCCATTGGTTTCCTATGCATTTTAGCTGTTCCTGAAAAGGAGGTACATTGCAAAAGTCTGCTTTCAAGTGGGCGAACTGAACTTCTCCTCAGAATAAACAAAGTCTTGTCCAAACTCATTATTAGGATACTTTCCATTTCCCTTGCTTTCTTCTCCAAGGTCCATGCAGTGCCATGTTTTGGAACAGGACTGTGATAGGGTTTTTGACTGAGTCCCCAGATTTGTCCCAGTGTTGTGTTTCTTTAACAATTAGAACAAGCAGCTGCTCACTCTTGTTTTCCTGTTTATTTTAAGCAGCCCCCTACACTGTCAAGACAGAGCATTTGCATTGGTAATGCCTTTAAAGACAGCTGGTTTTGTATCAGAACATCCAATGTAATTTTGTGTGCTGTGAACCAATGGGGGTTTATTTAAGAGGAGCTGAAACTACTGTTGTACAGAAATCAATTTCGAAAGGTTTATTTTCCCCACTCACTTGTAAGTTGCTCTTTGCCAGATGTAATTTATGTGGAACCCAGATTTGTTTTCCTTTTTCTTCATAAAGCATGTGCCAGAATCTGTTTAATGCCTGGAATAAAATCCATTTTGAAACAAGTGTTTCAGCCAGTTATTATTCCCCCTAAGTTCCTCTAATGGAAAAGAGCATCCTTCCTTGCCGGTCCTCTCCTCTGTCTCTCACTGGGTTTGTTCCCCAGACGTGCATACCCCAGTTCTTTGTATGGGTTCCCGGGGTGCTTCTAGAGGGATACTGCTGGAGCTGGCAGAGATACTTCTAGGATACAGTGGCATATCAGTTGAAAAGGACTGAAGAAGTCCTTCTCAGCTGGATAGGAAGACAAATGTCCTTTCTGGCAATTAATGGCCTGACTTACATGCTGAAAGAAATAGGCAGGGGTGGGGAGAATTAATTCTTCCTGTTACTTGATCTTTTCCTCAGGTTATCAGCTTGCCTATTTTTTACATAAGCCTCCCAGAGACCTTACTTCTACCTCTGGCTTGAGGGCAGAGAAGCATCACCACCCACAGATGCCTCCTTGAATGCGTGTTGCTGAGCCTCAAATATAGTAATTCCCCAAGGAGGCTGAGTAAGCTTTCCTAACCTCACATTATTTAAAAAAATAAAAACAGCCAGAAATGTCAAGTTGGAGACTTTAAAATCGGGGCTTAACTGCCTGCTAGGCTTTTTCAAACTAGGATCAGCTGAGTCTGCTTCTACAGAAAGCAGCGGTGCTAGAGCATCTCTCAGGAAGGTATTCTGGAAGTTAGCTGGTGTGGGGGGAACCAGTGCTCCCCCGTGGAGCCCGGTGGTATATCTGGTGTTTGAGTGCTGTGGGAACTCAATAAAAAGGAGAGGAGTTGTGGCTTCCTCTCTTAGTGCTGCTTCTGTAGCAGAACATAGTTGGGCTGTGTCCCTGGAGCCCTGCCATGCACACCCTGAGCGATGATCTCTGAAGTGTCCTAGAAACCAGGAAGTTCTTAGGCTGTAATGATGGATGGGAATACTTTAATTAGTGCTGTCTTGGAAAATGATATACTGATCTTCTGAAGAGCCAGACTTGGGAGGGGGGGGGGAGGCTTGGAGGGAAGGAGAAATGAGTGAAGAATGAGTTACCCTCTGAGGAGGATAGGGTCAAACATGCAATGGTCTGACACGTACATGATGTATGTAGAGTTGAGTTTGAGTTCGAGAAGAGTAGAGTTGAGTTTGGAGTAGAAACAGGTGTCTCAAAAGGAACTAGAACCAAGTGTGGGGAAAATTATGGGGGAGTAACTTCTTTGCAGGAGCCTGAAAACATACAATCACCATGTCCCCAGCAGTCGTACAGCTGGGTCAAATTTGGTAGATGCTTTGTCTAACAAGGCAAATCATGTGTTATTTGGTTTTGTTGCATGTTTGTTTGTTTTGTTTGGGTTTTTTTTAAATACTCAAATACTTCATTTTAGCACTCACAAAGCAGATTATTTTCTTAAAAATAGAGGTATTCTCCAAACTACATTCAGTAACAAATCTAGGTGCTAAGAGACCATCATTTTTTGCAGTCTGTTAAAAGGGATTTACTTGATACAGAGACCTTGTGGGAATGTCTCTTCATTCTCAAAACCCTCTGCTACTGGGCTGCAGAGTGTGTAGAAGGGGATAACTCTGTCCCTCTAACTGGACTTCTTCAGCCTTTTAGAAGTACATACTAAGTGCAGAAAACCTGATTGCTGCTCTTCCTTTGGGCAAGCATCCTAATATGCTTCCTGCATCCTTTCTCGTCTGGTCTCTACTGCTTGGTGAACACAACTGAAGAGCTCCTGTATCTCTCTCTTTTAGGGGGCCTAAGATTTAGTCCTTCAGTGTGACTTGTGAGCACTTAAAACAGAAGCAAAGGAGCCCTGGAGAACTGCAAATAATGGAATTAGATGTTTAGATATACCTAAAAAACCCCCTTGTTTTCAGTGTGTTTGTTTTGCTGCTATAGTAGCAAAAAGCCAGCAGAGCACTGCCCTGTGAAAATAAATAGGATATTTGCAGCATGCTGGGCTTCTGCTTCTCCAGGGGAGAACTCAGTGCCCATGCGCAGGCAGGAGGCATTGCCCCTGTGCAAGGTAGCAACCATCCACATTTCTAAGGCTTTTTTTCTGTAAGGTGTTCTGCAAATGTCTATGATACAGCCCAGAGCTATGTTAAAAAATGTTTCTGTGCTGCAACATGTTGCAAAGGAGCCACTGGGCAATGGGAGTCTTGAGTACAGGAGCTAAGTGAACAACCTTTTCCTTTTTTGACTGATCTGCATCTGTTTGAGAAATGCTGCTTAAATCTAACCAGTGACTGACCAGTAATTAAAACCAGACCAGAACAAGGTAGTATTTCTTTGCTGAAAATGACACTGGGTAAGTGTTCAGACTTGCCTATTTTTGAGGCATCCCATCTGAATGGAAATAGCAGTTTCTGCTTGACATATTGATTAAAGTAAATCCAGCTTCTTCTGTAGTGCACAGTGCAAAAAAAAAAAAAAAAAAAAAGAATAAGAGAAACAGTAACAAAAATAATCCACTTGGGAAAAAATTGTGGTTTTAATACGATTCTGGTGGAAACCAGCTTCTCTGGTTTTGATTTCCATGGAAACTAATACAGCAACACTGCTTACCACTGCCTGCAGCAGAGTTGAGCTTCGCTGTAACAACAGCAGCAGTGCACTGGGTGATGAGCTGGCCAGTGCCTGGGGGAGGCACAAATTCATGACCATGAAGTGAACAAAATAGGTTCACTGACCCAAAAGGCCACCCATGGATCCCTCTGCACCTCCAGATCTGTCTCTACTTTCTTTTCCAAGGGCTCTTCTTCCTGAATTTTGTGTTCAGAGCCCAGGGGTGCTTTGCCTTCTCCTCATCTCAGTTTCAATTGATGGATGTATCTCAGTATCCCTCTCTGTAGCAGCCTGAGCTTCTTGTAAGCATGGTGGCTTCTGCCTCCTGGGGTGGTTTTGAGCTCTCACAGGCTTCATCCCAACTCGAGATCCCTTTTCACCTCACGCCCTGGCATGTTGTGTCACTGCCCCATGGGGCTGCCATGGGGTCTCCTGATGGTTGTTTAGTTTTAACTTGTAAACCTGCTGCTGTCTGCTATTGGCTTCCCTTCAGCATCAGGATAACCAGAACTGGCCCTGCAGTATAGCTGTATTTGGAAGTTCCCACAAAGGTTTCAAAGAAGTGGGACAGCTGCATACAAAGCACAGAGAACAGCTTGTTTGAAGAGGTGATCTTTTTATAGTTCACCAGAGTGTGTGTGTATTTCTTTACCCACCAAAACACCTTGTTTCCCAGTCTTCCCAACATATAATGAGGGCAAACCAGAAATCATATCAATGCTGGTATATTTTGAAGGTAATGGCTTGCATTTCACCCTTGCTGAAGAGAAGCAGTGTTGTTCCCAGTGCTGTGGCAAACAGAAAAGCAGTGGAAGGGGAAGTACTGAGATAGGTATGAAGACACACAAATATGGCCATGGTTTCTAGAGTAGAAAAAAAGGGAAGATGCCTGATGAGTGCCTTTCAGCCCAATCAATAGTAGAGCAACAGGATGAAGAAGAAAGAAATGTGAAAGGAACAGAAGTCTTCCTGTGATGGCTGGGGGTGTTTCCAGGACAAGACTGTGCATACACTTGTCACATTTGGGAAACAGACTCAATCAGAATTCTTCCTGCTCAGACTAAATTCCTGAATTTTAATACTGTTGGCTTTAAGAAATGTGAGTGGCTGGGAGAATGCTGCTGGCCAGCCACTGGCTTTGTGGCAGGACCACCAATAAAGAGCTGAACAAAGGCAGGTGTGAGCCTGAGGGCTAGAGGGCAGCTTTGTGGTTATCCTCCTTGGTATTTCTTCAGCAACAAACACAAGGAAACTGGTGATAGAGCATTTAAATCTTGAAGTAGCTACTAGGAAGGAGAGAAATACAGTTAATATTGAATCAGGTTTGCCTTCTGTACTGACAGTGTTCAGGGGATGCTTTGTACAGATCCTCCCTCAGTATCCAGCATCACCTCTCTTCCCCTTTGACACACCCTACCTATCTCAAGTTAATACACTGCTTAATACACTGATACTTCTCTCCATTAAATCATCTTAATGACAGCAGTAGATGAAGGCTTGACTATGTGGGCTTACCATCTGGACTGCCTCTGCTGCTCAGCATGCTGCAGGATGGGAAGCATGTCGGTGTTTCAGCGACTCAGGTATGGAGGGATCTATTTGAGGCAGAAGTCATTTTTTTTAGGTAATTTCTCAGATTTTTGAGGAAAAGTAGCAAATTGTAGCAGAGACTTGATTCTAAATTGTTGGGTTTGCTCAGCCTGGTATATTGGGTTTGCAGGCTGCTTTATCCTTTCAGCCAGCCCTTAGTAGTTTTAAACCATCCCCTGGACCAGGTTTACTGGCACAGTGGAGATATTCAGCTGCTGCAGGGGAGTTGGGCTCCTCACTCTTACCTCCTGCCATATCTAGGATTTTTATGGAGTCTTCACCTGCAAGAGTTTTGTTTAGTCTGAATCACTCAGAGCTGATGATGCAGAAGCCATAACATACTTGTTAATGAAAACGGGGAATTAAAAATGCAACAGATGTAGCTAAGTCTAAAAGCATACCAAAGCATCTTCAAGCTGGGTCTTTCACAGTTCATCTCCAGGCTTCAGTGCAGCATGTTCAGTCTTTTGTATTTTCTCTCTCTTAAACGCTACTGGGCCGAGATTTGTTGTGTGCAGTTCTTCAACTGGAGACTGTACTGTTACAACGCTACTGACAAGGACAACCAAATGATCTCAAAGTCCCTCTAATTACCCAAAGCTGAAGTGTCACCTCTGCTTTCTTGTCTGAGGAGATAAAAGCAATGTTCAGAGACCCACTTAATACCTTAGCATTTTTCAAGGCAATCAACTGTTCCAAGCTCTTTTTCCCCCAAGCAATCTAAATGCTAAATAGATATTTTAAATAATTACCATCTCTAAGGCGAGGAGCCATTTTCCCTGCAAACACCTGATGCTCATTAGCAACATTTAACTGTCACACATCACTTCTGTTTACTCTGAGGTTTTGTGGCAGAAGTTTGTCAGGTAT